TACCATCAACGCGGTTAACATGTGAAATGTGTTGTCATGAAAGACGATGAACATGGGAAGATGGACATTAACTCAAAACAATTTATAACGGTGTATTCCAACCTTACAAAAACTCTGTCTCTTACAATGTTTGCCTTTAAGGGAAGAGTTCAACGAGATCTAACACCCCAAATATGTATAAATACCTAGATGTAGATGACAGAGACCAATGCAAATGACACAGAATATACACAGATCAAAAGAACTGGCGGGGCGCAAGTTGCCAGATCGATTCTGTTAGGTATGCAAATGTGCATACCAGTATCCTTAGAACGTGGTTTCGAATCCCATAACATTATCTTCCTAGATTGCCAGCATCATCCACTTAGTTATGTGACCATATTCCTCGATTGTGTCAATGACAAACTGTCACTGTATTCACAATAAGCGACACATTTGAGCCAAGGCGAATTAATACCATGTGGCTTCTTAAAAACTCGGGGCAGTGGGGTAGCCTAGTGGTAAAAGCGTTCGCTCGTCACGCCGAAGACCCGGGTTCGATTCCCCACATGGGTACAATGTGTGGAGCCCACTTCTGGTGTCCCCCGCCGTGATATTGCTGGAATATTGCTAAAAGCGGCGTAAAACCATACTCACTCACTCACTCTTAAAATCTCAAACGGTTTGCTTGAATCACAGAAACGAATCGAGTTCAGTACTGTCAAGGAATTTTATTTTTCAATATTGTACACCACTTTCCTGCATGATAAAATTATGAAAATGATCACTTTTTAATCAATTGGAATTTGTTACTGAACGAAGATATAATTAAAAATCTACCGTCAGAGATTCAGGACAATTTGTCAAAAATACACACAAATGTCAGATGAAGCATAATTAGAAACGATATGTGAAATGTTTGACTTCCTTATTGAGTACAACTGTCTTACATTGGAGAGAAAAAGTTTCAGCCAAGAAGTGGACATCTACAGAGACACCGACTATGCTCCCTTCCCTGTCGATCTGATTCTTTATGCATATGAATCAAAATCGGGTTGGCAAAATCAGAACAAGGTCATTTGGCAAAGAAATGCAACTTAAGTTTCAAGATATACTATCGTGCAATAAACAACAAATAGCCAATTCCCTTCCACTCTTTTAATAACTTGAACTTGAAAAGAAGGAGACAAGTGCGACCAGCTCGTGTGTTTCATATTTAGATGTTTGCAAAGAGACATAGTGGCAAGAAACACTCTCAAGGATGTATGACAAAAAGGATGATTTCAACCTTCCATTAGTCGTCCTTCCTTCTTGATGTCCTTCATTGAACTCCAGCATGTGGTGTGTACAGTTCACAACAATCGAGAATGCCCTTTTTGCCAAGATATCAATGGATATCAAACGTTTCTTTCGGAAATTGTTTGATAAAGGTTACAACATCCAAGGCTTCAGAAAAGCTTTCAAAAGGTGGTAGACACGTGCAGGTCATTTCAAAATTTGATGCATCGGTGACCAAAAGGATGCCCCCCGACAATTCTCTATGTTGACTTGTACCTTCATTCCGGAACTGTTCAGTGAACAAATGCCTAGCCTTTGCATGTGTTTATGACGGGTGTCACCGATGGGGCAGGATACGCTCATCTGTTTGAGAACACCTTTTATCATCATATATTTGACAGTGATTCCTAAACACATGTCTGTCATCGTATCGCATGATGTCAATCACTGGATTGTTTGGTTCAGACTCGATTTATTTACAAACCGCCATCATGCACCGTAAAACAAACAAACACATGTTCATAATATAGCACAATAATATTGTACAACTGACTCTACGTATAGCAGAGGTTTCTTATTGATGTGAAAAGCGATTTGTCGCGTATATTTCACTGAAGTATTAAGCATCCACGACCGGTATCACTGACAAATCTACAATTGAGTGAGTTGAGTTTTACGCCACAATCAGCAATATTTCAGCTATATGGCGGCGGCTTGTAAATAATCGAGTCAGGACCAGACAATGCAGTGATCAACAACATGAGCATCGATCTACACAATTGGAATACGATGACATGTGTCAACCAAGTCAGCGAGCCTGACCACCTGACCCCGTTAGTCGCCTCTTACGACAAGCATGGGCTACTGAAGGCCAATTCTAACCCGGACCTTCACGAGTCTATATACAGTTGAAAGCGGAGTTTTACCCCATCTCACACACTCAACGCCGAAGACCCGGGTTCGAATCCCCACCTGGGTACATTGTGTGAAGCTCATTTCTGGTGTCCCCCGCCGTGATGTTGCTGGAATATTGCTAAAAGCGGCGTGAAACCAAACTCACTCACTCACTCACACACTCAACACACAAACCTACATGACTGACAATATGTAAGGTAGACTTTGCTGAACCATCTTTCCTTGATGCCACCTGCAGTTTTTGGAATGCATTTGTTAAAGGGCAATACATAACTCAAAAGAAACTAGTTAAAACATATACAATCTGCAGCCCCAATAAATGCATTTCACGTTGATGTTTCCGCCAGAGAAAATATACCACTCCCTTACATCAGAGAGTGTATCATGTCATTATACAGATGTTAGGTAGGTGAAGTGTTTGACTTGTCTAGACTATCAATCATACAAGCGTGTTACTGTCGGTTGAGGCAATGGAGAAGCTTTTGGATTGACCATTACTGTCACTTCACAAATAACAGGGAATGGTAGAAGAAACTGTTATTCAAATTTTGAGCTGGCCATGATATATGATCAAGCTAAAATAGCGGTATATACCGGTAGCCTGCGTTCGGTAGCCTGGTGGGTAAAACGTTTGCTTATGGAGCCGAAGACCCGGGTTCGATTCCCCGCATGGGTACAATGTGTGAAGCCCATTTCTGGTGTCCCCCGCCGTGATATTGCTGGTATATTGCTAAAAGCGGCGTAAAACCATACTCACCTGACATTTTATTATATCTACATGCATTTTACAGGTCGACTTTTCACTCACTCATGTAGGCCATGTGACATGAGGTTTAGGCTCTAATTTGATGAGGCGGTGGGGGTAGCCTAGTGGTTAATGCGTTCGCTCGTCAAGCCGAAGACCCGGGTTCGATTCCCCGCATGGCCACAATGTGTGAAGCCCATTTCTTGTGTCCCCCGCCGTGATAATGCTGGAATATTGCTAAAAGTGTTGTAAATATATTCTAGTGTCGTCTAATGTCGCTCGTCGGTCCACTCGATTAACACGTGTCATTTATTGGGAAATGACAACTTTAATATGTGACGTGTCGTTTACATACTGATGCAGCACTTGTAAGTCTTCTGTTGTAAATTCACTCACAGGTACACGTGAAGCCTACGTCACTTAAACTGGAATTATTTTGACACATGCCGCTCATGCAGGAATTCAGGCACATCGTCCATCTATTCACATATAGCGACTTCCCTTATTAAATCAAATATGTATGTAGAATATTTTCATGTGGCTTTCATTTACTCACATAAATATAGAATTTTACACTATTCACCGACATACCATTAATAGAGGAACACGACATGTACGCATACGAATGTCGCTTATTTCCTTAATCAGTCAATACGACAGTATATACGGCTGATTCCCTTAATTGCTGACCTGTTATTTTTTCAGGAATATATCTGGGGCATGTCGTTCATTTATTCGCATAAATATTGCATATTCATTCACTCCTATGTAGTTTATGCAGGAATTTATTAAGGGCATGTCGTTTGTTTACGCGTATCGCGTATGTACGTATTCTCTTCGACGTTCTTGATGCAGGAATTGAAATTTGGTGTGTTTATTTACTAGCGTTAATGTTGCATAGTCGCTTAGTAATCAACACGTCTCTGAAGCAGGACCCGTGAAGATCTGGGTTTTGCAACCCATGCTTGTTGTAAGAGGCGACACGCGGGATCGAGTGGTCAGGCTTACTGACTTCAAGTGACTTGGTCGACATATGTCATCTTATCCAAATTGCATATATTCGATGCTCATGCTGTTGATCACTGGATTGTCTGATCCAGACTGGATCATTTACACACCGCCGTTATAGAGCTGAAATATTGCTGAGTGCGGCGTGAAACAACAAACAAACAAAACCAACCTTTGATGCAGGACATCGTCTGTAACATGTCGTCGCCTGAAAACCAGAGTGTACTAAGTCACAAAAACCTATTTTCGAGAAATTCTATCTTGAAGTTTAGGACAAACTTTTCAATCGAATTCTTTCAAATTTTGCACATGCATGTGACATGTTAAACAGTATCAGAAAATATCAAATTATATGCTCAATCTATTGAAATAAATAAGAAACTCACGAAAATTGATTGGAGATAGAACACTTGACCAAAGAAAATCGTGATTTTTCTCAAAACCAAAGTGTTCTAAGTGTCAAAAAACACAGCCAAAACTCAGCTTTATTATTATTATATCGATATTTGATTGTTATTTCTTCATAACCAGGTTGTATTTGGTCGTTTAAACCTGTTTTACCTTCATAAGGACTACGTTTAATTAAATAAAGCAGAAATAAGAACAGAGTTAAAATGTTCCATTTCCATGATGACAATCACTTCAAAATTGGTAAATCTCAATGTCACGTGATCAAATTGTACTTGCTCATTGGTCAATTGACAACTTAGAACACTCGAAAATTAACAACATGTGATTTTCATGGAGACAGAACAAAGTTTGTGTATGAAAAAACACTTTCAAAGCTAGATAGCACTGTAAACAGTTGCTAGAGTAATAGCTTATGCTTTAAAACCTACCCTGAGCATACTAACACTCTGGTTTTCAGGCGACGATGTGGATCTACTCACAGGGATATCACTTATTCACCAAAGCAAGAACTGTTATGTAACATGTCGTCCATACCAGGCATGTCGAATATGGATCCCTCTTGCAATGATTCAAATTGTCGTCTATTTGCCCCAAAACGCGGGATGTCAAAAGACGGTCATTTACCCATGTTGAAATCAATATGTTCTGTTTTTGATTTAAACAGTAGGCACGATGTTGTCACCGAGGTGGACGTTGTTGTTCCTGTTGATGTTGATGCTGCTGACGGTGGGGGAGACACTGAAGAATGGTCATGCTCCACGTTGGTTGGTCAACTTGTTCTGCAAGAGGTCATCCGGTCTGACACAGGTGCCCTGGGATTGCACGGGGTACCTTCACTGCTACACCCAGGGCATGACGACATACGGCGTCTGGCTCAACTGCCCCGCGTCACTGAAATTTGATGCAACATCACAGAATTGTCTCCGAGTTTCCCCTTCATGCATGAACATGGACAGTAAGTCAGACTAGTCTCCACCCAATCCTTACATGAAACATACTACCCATCAAAAGTTTAGACTCACAAGTGTAAATGTAGCCACTTACTTCAGTCAACTGTTCTGAACTAGATTTTGCCAAATATTCCATACCGTTTAAAGGTACTGTTTACACTTGAACTGATGTATTGTAAAACAAATTCGTAACGTAGAAAAGATTATTGTCACTGGCTGAAAATTGGCGAATTCTTAACAACACTTTTCACCAAAATGCAGTTGTGCACATGCACGATATTTGCACATGCTTTTCAGCAATTTGATGCATGATCATCGTGCAGTTCATCTGCATAAGGTTTGCAGTTGGTTCCCCCCTAGTTAGTGGAGAAATCAATCTTCGATGTAACCATATAAATATACATATGTGCATAACATATAGTGAGTGCTTTAAGTGAGTCAAAACTTTTGATGGGTAGTACAAAATATATATATACTCGATCAATCATTTCATGCAACCGCTAAGACGTGCCTTGACACAGAACAGCTGTTGTTACCATTAGTAACGTTTCCATTATTCGGCATAACTCTGTTCAAGTATTGTTTTAAATCGCCCGAAGAACTTATGAATTTGCCAGAAACGAGTTATTTACGTACGCTGTTTATATTGGTTCACAAATGGAAACCATCCCTCGCTATGCATGACATATAATTAAGTTTCTGACCCGCTTCTGATTTAAATCGTAAGGCATCTATTTCTTAAACGGAAAATGTGAAAATATATATAGTTCACCACAAGCGATTTTCAAAGAACGGAAATACCATCCTAATCACTTTAATCGGTAAGTTGATACGCTCCGAAATACCGATTCACTAAGACTAGGTTGATACTTTCCATACGAAAACAAATAAAATACTGGGGGTGAATCCCAGTGTATTAGGGGATGAAACACTATAGAACCACTTTATCACTAAGAATTGAACTGACATTGTTGTGTTGTTACCAAAATTATTAAGCGTTATATAACAGTGAAGTGATAACAGAATAACAAGGAATACAACAAATAAAAGTACTTTCTCTGTAATCTGCCTTCGTGTGCGGGCCACTTTGAGAGTGTTGGTTTAGAATCCAGAATAGGAGCCATTGAGGGCATGCAATCCCAAATACACTGCAAAATGTGAACATCCAGCCCGTTACGTTTTTCGTTTTACACAGTTAGAAACAAACCGATCTGTCGCCAACATTTCAACAATGAGCGATACAATGTAGATCATTGCTCAAGAGGATGTTGCTATTGTTGCTATTATTGCTATTGTTGCTGTTATTGTCTGTCATCACATGCTGTTACTTCCAGGAGTGGCACACAGATACTGCCCCATCTACAGCCAGTTGCGATTTCCGCATCCGGGTAGTTGCGCGATGTTTTACGATTGTTCCCGGAAAATGCCGGACAAACGATATGGACTGAAGATCTACGAGAACGAATGTGCCTACCCTACACTGTTTGATCCTGAACTGGCAGTGTGCAGGGAAAACGAGATGAGTAACGAGATATCCTGCATGAACCCCCCATCCAGCAGATGTACGTACATGACACTCTCGGGCTTCCATATGTTGTATGGTCGTCCGTATGTTTTTCTATCATCCTCAATTCCCGTCCGCCCTGGAATTTCATTCCAACGTGAAATATAATGCTTCCGAAAAAATGTTAATTTAAATTTAATTTTACATGCCACTCTCATCCTTGCACATTCATAATACCAGGTCAGCTTGACCTTTCTTCATTATATATATGTATTGCTTCCTTAAAAATGTTAATTTAATTTTAATTTTATATGCCACTCTCATCCTTGCACATTCATAATACCCGGTCAGCTTGACCTTTCTTCATTATATATATTTCCGAAGCTAAGGGTCTCGATCTGAATCTTACAAAATTTTAAATACTATTACCAAGTGGTGTAGACATTAAATTGTCATAAAATAATTTACACAATCAATGAATAAACATTGTTTATATATTTTGTATTGTTAAATGCTGGTTGATGTTGGTGAAGATATGCTCACCTTTCTGAGAACAGATGGTATTATCGCTATCTGAAAGTTAGTCATAGACACAGACTCCTCATGATACAGGTGGAATCGGAAAATGGATTTTACTTTTATCAGCGATAGGCCATTTTTTCTTCTTTCTTTAGAGCCCGGGACAAATGTCCAGTGTCCTTTACAAATATATTTTCGAAAAAACAACTCAACTGATTGTTTTTATTTCATAATTTTGTATAACGAAATTTTTCAAAGGATCTTTTGGATTTAGGTATGATGAAAGGCAAAGTAATCTCCAGAGCCCTGGTTCCCAAAGCGATCTCAGTACCAAGTTGATCTTAATTCCCACAGTTCAATATTGGCCTAGCTAGCCGTAACGCTAAGATCGCTTTGTACGAGAGGGCCCATGACTTTATGGTGTTTTTCACAGCAAAACATTCAAAACAAAAATTAAAATAGCCATGTATTATAATTGTTCTCTTGTTAAATATGGATTTCAATAAGTGTACGAAGCCAATATGAGCACGTTACAAAAATGTCACAAAATCATATTCGCTCCCTTAGATATCTACTTGAGTAATTTCATAAGAAGAAGACGACACAGACATAAATATGCATTCCAGCTGTGTTTCTTAAATACATCAGATTTATCTAGATGCATGTGACGTTAAGATGACTTGAACTGCCAACGCCTGTTTGTTGAAGACATGAGCTGCACATAGCAGCTGATTACAAACATCCTATATTAGCATATTAACATTTTTCACATGTCCAGAGACCATGTCAGTGATAAACGACCTTGGCGTTTAAGAGAATTATACATATCTATCTACCTTGCAGATTTACTACAGAATACAAAGGATTCAGTAAAAAAATAGATTGGTACATTCACGCTGAAACTTTAGCATAATTTTCTGAAACCTCGAGTCTCCGGTTGAGGGATATAACTGTAATATATTCTTGGTTTTACTTTTCGAAGGTCTTTCTGAAGTAAGTAGCAACGATTGTCAGTGATAGTGTCAAAGGACTTCAAAGTTGACTTGCCCCAGTCATTCGTTATTATACACACACATCCTGCAGTCAAATCTAAGTTCCTGTAACTGGGCTATATATTAACAACAGGGCACCGTGCGAACAAATACATGCACGTTTTAACTGGCATTTTGGAAACATGTGAGTAACAACAAAGCAAGATACTTTATGAATCACAAATTCTTAATCTATTATAATGCGGACCAGTGAAGATCTGGTTAGAATTGATCTTCAGTAATCCATGCTTGTCGTAAGAGGCGATCGGGTGGTCAGTCTCGTCGACACATGTCATCGTATCCCAAATATGTAGATCGATGCTCATGATGTTGATCATCATATTTTCTAGTCCAGATTATTTGCAGACCGCCGCCATATAGCTGGAATATTGCTGAGTTCAGCAACAACCAAAGAAGAATATTATGATGCAGTTCTCCGTTACATATTCTTACATCGTTATCAAACACAACGATGTACTACAGAAGCGAAGACACTTGTAAACATCTAATGGGAATTAACAAAAACAAGATAATTGTATCCATGCTTGTCGTAAGAGGCAACTAACGGGATCGGGTGGTCAGTCTCGCTGACTTGGCTGACACATGTCATTGTATCCCAACTGCGTAGATGATGCTCATGCTGTTGATGACTGGATTGTCTGGTCCAGACTCGATTATTTACAGACCGCCTCAACATAGCTGCAATATTGCTGAGTGTGGCGTTAAACAACAAACCAACCAGCTTATTTGTCTGCTTCGTACAATATATGTATATGCCATTCCTGTTCTTCTGGTGCCACGGGGGGGCGGTGGGGTAGCCTAGTGGTTAAAGCGTTGGCTCGTCACGCCGAAGACCCGGGTTCGAATCCTCACATGGGTACAATGTGTGAAGCCCATTTCTGGTGTCACCCGCCGTGATGTTGCTGGAATATTGCTAAAAGTGGCGTAAAACCAAACTCAGTCAGTCAGTCAGTCTGGTGCCACGGTAACATGGACCTGCTCTGGTTCTAGGTGACTACAAGACGGAGTGCCTCTCTGTGTCCAGCCAGTGTTTACAAGATGGCTACTCCCCCAAACCCGGAACTATCTTCTCCTCCTACCACATCCTCTGTAAAGCAGGGAAAATAGTGTCAAACTTACAGTGTAAACTTTCAGAAGAAGTTTTTTGACCCAATAGGAAAGAACTGCACATCAAACTATCAAAGTAAGTATTGATAAAGTTGAAATCAATATTTGTGTTTATACATATTATTATCTTCGAACATATTTCCAATTGTAGTTGACATTATTTGGTTACATGGACATTTTGTAAACTGATCATGTGGTAAGTATCTTTTTCAGCCAAATAGTTTGTTTTTGATCACAGGACAATAATGTTTAGAAATATATATCTAGACTTTTGCAGTCATATATTGTTTTTGTATGTTATGATAAACATATTCTTCAAATTTGAAGAAATAAAGATTTTAGAAAATTATATCGCTACACTCAATACATAAATTACACGTGTAGATTATGTAATGAGTGTATCGGTATAGATTTCTACACTCATTCACGTGTATGTTATATAACGAGTATAGGGGTAGAGAATTCTAGAAATCATATTTCTTCACATATAATTTATGTTAATCATAATAAATAAAAAAATATATATGATTTTCATTTTTAACAGTGATTCGGACCCCAGTGGTGTTGATGTGGTTGTTTTTTAGATATTATTTTTATCAACTTCTTATGGTTGGCATTTTGGGTTGTTCGTTTTCGACATCAAGGTTCTGTAAAGCTCGAGGGTAGTTTATATTATAAATGCACTCGACACACAGGCGCCGCCAAAATGTGTCCGGGTCGAAGTCTTTGTGAAGAAAATCCACATATGTTAAGTTTACAATGTCATTTAAGACATTTGAATTCATTTTAAAAAGATTCTCAACATTTCCTTAATGACAATCAACGTCGATGTTGCTGTTGTCGGCAATGAGAAAGCTGTCAATAGACGACCGCAACTGTTTATGTCATGAAAAATACATTTTGCTCGAGTGTTTTTTAAAAACCTACTGAATTGTTACCTTAATGGATCGAGTGATTATGTATCTGTCGTAATTTAAAAAAGTAAACTAATATTTTTTTCATTAATGGATGGCTTTGTGTAGAATCTTTGTGTAGATAGTGAAAACTCAAGCAAGTAGTCCGGTCGTGGCGTGTTAGAAACATTATACGCCAAACTTATTGCTTGTTTGACAATAAAATGTTGTTGCGATTTAATACATCCTCATAAATATAATAATGAGGTCGTAGGTGTTATAGTCAGTTGAAAAACACCTCTTTGCTAAAGTTCCAAATGATCTTATTTAACCATTTTATCCAAAATAGCTAGTAGTAGCATGCATTAATTATATTTCTGACTAAACGCAATTTGTCTTGTATATATAGTGACATAATCCATTGACAGATAATTTTACAACTGTGCATTTTACACGTTTTCTAACTATCCCCTGGCCCTGGCAATAGCTGTTGGACGAGACGTTCTCGTGTCCCAACATGTATCTGAGAGTTAGCCTGTTAACACCTCTAAATATGCCACGCGGCTAACGAGGATTGTTCGTGAATATCGTGAGGATGCCAGCGCTGTCAACTCCATCTTGTCAATCCAAGGCAATCTACACAAGGGCACGTGACATCTTTACGCCGCTGCCGTGACGTTTTTACATGACGACAGACGTCGCCGTGGGCAGTTTGCGTGATAGTACACAACCGGCGGTGAGGAAATAAGCGGACAGCCGTTTTAAAAACATAAAGATTGAGAGACAAAAAACTCTCCACAAGGCTGTATGACGATAGGTGATTTCAACTGTCCTATAGTCAACATCCCTTTCATGTCGAGCAATGTTCCAATAGCTCCGGGGCGGTGGGGTAGCCAAGTGGTTAAAGCTTCGGCTCGTCACGCCGAAGACCCGGGTTCGAATCCCCACATGGGTACAATGTGTGAAGCCCATTTCTGGTGTCCCCCGCCGTGATGTTGCTGGAATATTGCTAAAAGTGGCGTAAAACCAAACTCAGTCAGTCCAATAGCTCCACCCTTTGGTGTTTACATTTCACAATTTTTGAGGTACAATCGAGCGTATTCTTTTTATCGGGATTTCAAAGAGCGGCATGCCGCTCTTGCTCAGAAGTTGTTTGATCAAGGTTACAACAATCAAGACCTCAGTAAAGCTTTCAAGAAGTTTATGGTGGACATGTGGATGAACATTCTACATTTGATGCATCAGTGACTAAAATGATGTCCGACGCAATTCCCTATTTTTTTACTTATACCATATGTTCCAGAATTATTTCAGGTGAACAGTTGACTAGCCTTACCATATGTTTATGACGGGTGCCACCGGTAGGGCAGGATACGTTCACCTTTTCGCGAACACCTAGTATCATCACTATTTCATCACATGCTCTCCCATCTATAACATGGTGACAATCACTGGATTGTTTGGTCGAGCCTTGATTTGTTTACCAACAACATCGTACAATTGTAATACTGCTGAAACAAACATATGCTCATGACGCTGTCACAATTGTAGGGATGCGCAATATAACCGGTTTACCGGTATTTACCGGTTCAGACCTGAAAAGACCGCCTCCGTGGTGTAGTGGTTCGAGCGTCCGCCCGGAGTGCGGAAGGTCGCGGGTTCGATCCCCGACCGCGTCATACCAATAAGACCTTAAAATATGGTACTTGTTGATCCCTGCCTGGCGCTCGGCATTAATGGGTACAACAAGGGCTGGTCGGCTCGGAGTCAGTATAATGTGTCTGAGTGGGGTATTCATGCTTCACTGCGGCATGGTATCTCAGTGGGCTAGCACTATAAAACCAGCTTAAGTCTGGGCTAGTACAAGCAGCCGCACATACACATACACATGCATGCACGTCGTCATATGAGCGAAATATTCTCAAGCACGACGTAAAACCCAATTTCACCTCACCTCACCTCAGACCTGAAAAAACGATACGCTGATCGAAAACCGGTATTTTGACTTGCATTCGGAAAACTTCGTAACACTCGGAAATCTTCGGATATGTCCTTGTTTCATTTGTGCCAAATATTATTCACATTTTTATTTTGTCATGATTAAAAGTTGTTATTAAAGCTTAATCAAGCCTAGTGATTTTGTTGTGTTTTTGCTCTATAAATCAAGAATTAACTTGATTATAAGTAGTTTTTGTTTAAAAATACTTCGCAATACACGCTTTCGCATCGCAATATATCGCAATATGAAAATTCTCGCAATACCCACCCCTACACAATTGTACAATCGACTCCACTAAAACAGAGTTTTCTTATGGACGTGGAAAGGGTTTTGTCGCTTCTCTTTGTGAGTCTCGGAGTCCTATCTTTACAGTTTAACATCTTAACATCTTAAGTGCACCCGGTGTTACTGGTGGAATGGATCTGTCCTATCGAGCATGGAAGGTTGATTTTGATGAAGAAAACTGAATTCATATCAATGATAATGAGTGAGTGAGTGAATGAGTTTAGTTTTACGCCGCACTCAGCAATATTAATATCCCAGCTATATGGCGGCGGTCTGTAAGTAATCAAGTCTGGACCAGACAATCTGCAGGTGATTAACAACATGAACATCGATCTGCTCAATTGGGAATCGATGACATGTGTCAACCAAGTCAGCGGGCCTGACCACCTGATTCTGTTAGTCGCCTTTTACGACAAGTATGGGTTACTGAATGTTCATTCTAACCTCGACCTTCACGGGTTCAATCATAATGACATAAACGATCTTAATCAAAGAGTCTACCACTTTCCTAAATCATTGCAAACTTCAACTGAAAGTAGAGTCCATTATGGGATCCCGACAATATCACCAGCATGATTTATGAATAATGGACACCGGGTGTTTGACAAAGACTGCTCTTGTACGGAAGCATCCGTCACAAACACGACTTTACTTAAAGTAGTGCATTTTTATTTTGTTTAAAATTTAAGAAACATATTTTCAACCTCTTAAGCACAAATCTTGTTAAATGGATTTAGGTTTCAAACGAACACTTTCTAACTACCGTTAACATTTGTTAAGGCATGTGTCGCGTGGTAAACCTCTCTCTCTGACCTGTGAAGAGTCTGAATTTAAAACATAATGGATTGCAGGGCTGACGTCACAGCTTAGACACATTTAACACGATACTATATTAAAAGCTTGATATGCTATATATCCGTGGATTAACCAATCATGCAGTGTTTTGACAAATACATTTACTGCAAGTCTTTTGTTTCACTAAACCAACAATTATGTTGGTTTTCCATAAACCAAACCACAAATTAGGCCACACCCACTAAGGTATAGCTGTTTACTGATTGGTTGATAGCAGAATGGGTGTACCCTGTGTTGCATAATTGTGCATTGATGTCGCGGATTTCATTTCATTGCCTACAGGTATAGTTTTGAGACTGATGAAAAAATCTGTCGCGGAATATCATTGTTGAACATAGAAGGTTTATGTTGCTTTTGTATACTTCTCTACAAGAACTGATTCAGTATATGTTTTCGCTCATTGAAGTCTAAACATGAAAAAAAACCGGTGCGCATTCTTTGCGTAAATCCGGTGCGTGAAAAGTGTTTTTACGCCACTGCCTCCATAACAGCGAAACACATTAAGGCTTATTCTTACAACTTCAGAATCAATAAACACATACTGCCGGATGAACCCCTCCGCCAAATTCGCCGACCCGAGGAACTGTGCTCGGTATTACGACTGCAGTACACGGTACCACCACTTCGGGCTGAAGCCCTACCAGTCCGAATGCCAGTATATGTATCTGTATGACGAGAGCAGCGCCACCTGTCGGCTGTTCGACATGATCAAAACACCATGCGGCAACAAGTTTGAGCCGAAATCCCCTTGTAAGTACATGGTAAATGTGTATCACGTTGCAGAAATATCAATTGTCGGAGTGCTGGTTTTCGAGACAACTTGATGGTTCGGTGGAGCAGTGCTTGAATCAGTACATACATTATCCAAAAAATGATAAAATGATTTGTCCCAGTGAAGATATACTCCTTCATATAAAGCAGTCATGTTCTGTGACAACTATCATGGTTACCATGGAAACGCCGCAAACTTACATGGTGCCTCACACTTTCATGTCTGGCAACATTGGTTTTGGAAAACTAGATATTCCAAGCTTTTCACGGTAGCCCTATCTCCTTCATTTGACTGGCTCGCTGGAGATTGCCACTAGACTACGTGTTTCACTATCTTAAGCTGAAGTGGTTAAGTTCTCCTTACCCCAGCCCTTCCTTTGTCTCGACTTACGGATTATCCTTGATCATTTTGTGGCTGGTCTCGAAATATGGCTAACTCGATAATGCTTTCGAAAGCAACAATGAACTTTGAATTATTAGTTTATAATTGCACTACAGCTTTGAGTGATTCGCTTTCTGTATGTAAAAATGTCGAGACGTATGAACGTAAAGGCAACGGAATATATATACACTTTATAATCCCCGAAACAGCTAACGTTTTATTACCTGCTATGATCACGCAAGTGTGTATACTTTCTTTTGACCTTCAGTTGAATTGCTGTGTGTGCAATTCTGATATTTATTCACAGTGTATCAAGTTTCTTCAACATTATTCTATGTATCATTGGTATAGTGGAAGATGATAACTGCAAATTCCCGATCAAGAGGGATCGGAATCGAAACTGACATCCAAAAGAAACTACACCAAGATTTCTCTTCTCCTGTTGATTGCCGTGGTCTAGTGTTGGGAATTGGTTCAAATCTCATAATTGATGATTGGTTCATTACTACCGATCAATCATCCAAAATAATTGGTTAGCGTCATTTATGAAATTTGTTAATGCACATAAAAATAAGGAAATAAATTGTAGTTCTTTTAGGGGTTTTTTTGGCAAAATTTCACATCTTTAAAGGATGACTAGTATGTTGGGAACATACATTTCTTGTAATCCTTAAGATAAATTCAATCATTACTTGAAACGAGATTGCTGTGCTTACGAAATGTAACACACAAAACCAACCATGTGAAAAATATTGTTAATGAAAACAAGTGTTCCAGAATTGTTTGTGTTCGATTATGAGAAATTATCATCGATTGCTTAGTCGTTTAGTCACTACGACCAATCTTCGATTATATCAATTAATCGGACCACCACTACTGTGGTCCAAACATTTGCTGTCAACATAATTGTATGCAATTTGTACTTGTCGATTCTGTTCTCCAGTGTTAACGTCGTCTGAGAGAAATGTTTATACATTACAGTTTCCATCAGCTCTCGCTAATTTTATCTACATTTGGCTGTAATATTGTGGCATGTTTCATTTTCACGCAAAAATCAGGTGTATTTTCTTTTGGACATCAGTTTATGAAGTAACGGAATACGTTGTATGTAAATGATTTCGGTTAAATTGTCAAGAACTCCCCATTTTGACTTATTTGAATATTATGAATAGTTCTAATTATGAATACAAATGTCGCTTGTCACATCAAGGTGAGTACCGGATAGGGCGGTGTCTGGGTCGAGAGCACTGCATGGCGTGTTCCGCTTCCTGTGTTGGACAACCGGATGGGGAAATACCGTATCCCGGCATCCCCCGCACGCGCTACCATCTGTTCTGTAGAGGGGAGAGGACGGTGGAGATTCAAGAATGTCCCAAGGGATATATATTCCATCCCGAAATCAGAAACTGTGAGCTGGACGTTGAGGACAGTAAGTTTGTTTTTGCAATATCAACTTAATAGTGACATATCGTGGGGAGGCCGTAGATATCTGAGGAGTTTAGTCTCGGGTTCCAATCTGATATCAACTGCACGAGTATCGATCTGCGTAATTGGGAACCGATGACATGTGTCAACCAAGTCAGCGAGCCTGACCACCGGATCCCGTTAGTCGCCTTACGACAAGCATGGGTTACTGAAGATCAATTCTAACCCGGATCTTCACGTGTACCGAAATTTGGAGCGACGTCAGACGTCATAAACAAGGTACGGAAGCGTCCTAGTGGCACAGTCTGAATTTTTTTATCTCCTAATTAGGTGATACTAACTCCTAATTAGGACATACTATCTCCTAATTAGGACTTACCTATCTCCTAATTAGGAGATACTAAGTCCTAATTAGGAGAAAAAAAAATTCAGACTGTGCCACTAGGACGCTTCCGTAACATGGATATGACATTATATCAGTATGTTCTCAAACAATGGAAACAATGAGCATGAAAAAAAAAATGGTATCGGAACGAAACGAAATTTATTGTTTAAAATTGTAGATGTTCCCATTTCTCTTTAGTTAAGTATAATTGACAGAGTCTATATTTGTGCCTCGCATAAAAAATGTGACTTTTTGTGTATGGGAAGTTCTTTTTAAACAATTATCATATATAAATGTAATGTTACAGCAACAACCACAGAGGCAACTACTACTAAGTCGACTACGCAGTCAACTACGACAACAACACCTACAACGACGACCACAACAACGACCACAGCAACGACCACAACGACAACTACATCGAAAACTACAACACAACCTCCAACTACTACTACACCAACAACTACGACAACGCGAACGTCAACTACCACGGCGTTGTATCCAACGCCACCTCCTGTGTGCTCCTGTCTTGACGAGATAACGCCCTTGGTTCAGAGACTAAACAACCTCACGATAATCACACAAGCCTTTATAAAACAGACAAAAACCACCGGTACTGGGACAGTTTTACTAAGAATATACAGAACAACTATTTGCAATCATAAAAAAACAACAAATTATGGGACAAGAGCTATTTACAATTGTAACAAGACAGTATATGGGACAAGAGCTATTTACAATTATAACAAAACAACGTATGATGGGACAAGAGCTATTTAAAATTATAACAAAACAACATATCATGAAACAAGAGCTATTCACAATTATAACAAAACAACATATTTTGGGACAAGAGCTATCTACGATTATAACAAAACAACATATTATGGGACAAGAGCTATTTACAATTATAACAAAACAACATATTTTGGGACAAGAGCTATTTACAATTATAACAAAACAACATATTTTGGGACAAGAGCTATTTACAATTATAACAAAACAACATATTTTGGGACAAGAGCTATTTACAATTATAACAAAACAACATATTATGGGACAAGAGCTATTTACAATTATAACAAAACAACATATTTTGGGACAAGAGCTATTTACAATTATAACAAAACAACATATTATGGGACAAGAGCTATTTACAATTATAACAAAACAACATATTATGGGACAAGAGCTATTTACAATTATAACAAAACAACATATTATGGGACAAGAGCTATTTACAATTATAACAAACAACATATTATGGAACAAGAGCTATTTACAATTATAACAAACAACATATGGGACAAGAGCCATTCACAATTATAACAAACAACATATTATGGGACAAGAGCTATTCACAATTATAACAAAACAACATATCATGAAACGAGAGCTATTTACCATTATAAAAAACAACATATTATGGGACAAGAGCTATTTACCATTATAAAAAACAACATATTATGGGACAAGAGCTATTTACAATTATAACAAAACAACATATGAAACGAGAGCTATTGACCATTATAAAAAAACAACATATTATGGGAAAAGAGCTATTTACCATTATAAAAAACAACATATTATGGGACAAGAGCTATTCACAATTATAACAAATCAACATATGAAACGAGAGCTATTGACCATTATAAAAAAACAACATATTTTGGGACAAGAGCCGTTCACAATTATAACAAACAACATATTATGGGACAAGATCTATTCACAATTATAACAAAACAACATATCATGAAACGAGAGCTATTTACCATTATAAAAAAACAACATATTATGGGACAAGAGCTATTTACCATTATAAAAAAACAACATATTATGGGACAAGAGCTATTTACCATTATAAAAAACAACATATTATGGGACAAGAGCTATTTACAATTATAACAAATCAACATATGAAACGAGAGCTATTGACCATTATAAAAAAACAACATATTATGGGACAAGAGCTATTTACAATTATAACAAACAACATATATTTATTTTATGTTTGGGTTGACAGCGCCATACCAATAATCTTTGTCTTCACCCAATGGTCACCCTCTAAAACCTACGTCCTCTGAAACATTTCCCAGCATTCCTTCCCAGCACCAAGCTGACTCGCCGCAGATTAACAAGTACTGTTCAAAGCGGCGTAAAACCCAACTGACTCACTCACTCTTTCAACTTCGCTTGTTAATTTTTCTAAAAGATGTTAAAAATGAAACATCCAACTTTATGGATGGTAACCTCTTGTTTGTTGCATAGAGCGACGTTTCGATTCTTACATCTTTATCAAGCTAAAAATGTTTTTAACTAAAAATGTGCTTTTAGCCAAAGGGGCTTGTAACGCTAAAAACTGCCATCAAGGTATATGCTGTCACTGATGGAGTCGTAATACTATAATATCCTTTTATAAAGTACTAAGACCCCAAAGTGACAGTATATACCTTGATTGCAGCTATTAGCGTTACAAGCCCAGGGCTGTGCTTTTAGCTTGATAAAGATGTACGCATCTACATCGAAACCTCGCTCAATGCAATAAACAAAAAAGTTTTCATCCATGTTGTGTTTCATTTTTGACTCATCAACTTCTAGAATGCCGATTTAACAATATGTATAATGTTTCCAACATTAATCTTTCTTTTACTCCTGTTTTTGAAATCATTTATAACTCTCATAACATCAAAAAAGATGATACACTTGCAAAATGTAAACGATACATAAACATATTTAAACCGATACTTTCAAAACTAAATATCCATACAGTTTTGAATGTATCGATAATTGTATCACCTTAAAAAAATGTATCGATGCATCGATGTATCGATGTATCGTGGCATTCCTTGTTAAATATCTTCACGGAATGTTTCATTCGATATTACCATTATTTCGGTGTATGATATTCATGTTACAGCAAAATCTTTGTCAACCCACACACTTTTAGAAATTGTTTATGTAATATTCGGCCATATGGAGTACATGTTTTTCTCATTGTTTCAGTTCGGAGTCCCTTTGACTGCGTGTCTCCCCCAAACCCCGATGGAGCAGTGACCCGGGTGTGGTATTCTTATTGTAGTGTCTCACTTGTTAAAGATGTGCATGATATAGCAGTAAAGCCGAAAAGTGAAATATTATGTCGCTCTGTATTATGAGAAAAGATTTATTGCATTTTTTGGACGTTTCAAACCAAATTACATTCTAAATAATGAAACCACATAGAAGTATTCTTCAGGATCAACCTGTGATGTTGGGTTCGAATCCTGGATTAACCCGATTATATTTGTACGTTTGCCGCGAGTTGATTAAATGGTATATTGATACATGTACCATATACTTTCCGGACGATATAATTAGCCGAGTGGGTTAAGTGTTTACTCATAACACTGAGACCAGGATGTTTGATTCTGCAGATGGATAAATGAGTGAAGCCCATGTCTGGTGTTCCTCTTGTCTTGCTGTAATATACTCACATACTTTACCTTCATTTTATATCCAGCAAGGATTTTATCAAGTTATTTATGTCTAATGTATGGATTGGGACGACCCTGTTCCCCGTCGTGATAATAGTAAAATACTGCTGGAAGCTCACTCGCCATATTTAAGGTGGTCGGTGAACCACCAGACGCAGCGTTGCGCTCTTAGTCGTGTGGTATTTGCACTGATTAGTTGTCCCCCATAATGCCCTTGGTTTGCCTACGCCACACCCGTGATCGTGGGGGTAAATACTTTCCTCTTTCACTGACGTAACGTACTTGGAGGTAACTGATGCACTGGTCAAAGCGGAGTTAAACTTTACTCACTCATCTTTCGATCACAGCTCACGTATGAAGGTCAGGAGGCCGTAGCAAGGTACACATGCGTCAGTGACCAGTACGGCATCTGTGACGGCAACGACGTGAGCAAATGCAGGAACAACGACGTCTGGACAGCGCCCCCTGGGAGGTGTGGCCGTGTGATTTTCAAGGTGAGCTTCAGTAGCGTCTCCCGTGAAGAGCACCTAAACTGATCCATCCAAGTCTACACACTTGGTTCTTTGGGATCATTTAAAAAATATCCTATATTCACAACACATTCTTTGTACGTCAGTATATATGTCTGCTTGTGTGTTTGATATGTAACGCTTTGTACACCCTCTTGTAATTCAAACACTGACAAACCCGTGAAGGTCCGGCTTAGAATGAAGCTTTTGTAACCCATGCTTGTCGTAAGAGGTGACTAACGGGATCGGGTGGTCAGGCTCGCTGGCTTGGTTGACACATGTCATCGGTTCACGTTTGTGCAGATCGATGCCCATGCTGTTGATCACTGGATTTCTGGTCCATACTCGATTATTTACGGACCGCCGCCATAAAGCTGGAATATTGCTGAGTGCGGCGTAAAAGTAGACTCACTCACTCAAACACTGTCATATGTTTAAGTTACCGTGAAGATCCTAGTTAGAATGTATCTTTAGAGCCCAATGTTTATCTTTAGAAGCAATTAACGGGATCGGGTCTCAGGCTCGCTGACTTGGTTGACATCATTTTCCAATTGCCCAGATCATGCTCATGATGTCAAAAACTGGATTGTCTGGTCCAGACTCTATTATTTACAGACCGCCTACACTTAGCTGGAATATTGTCCAGTGCGGCGTTGACCGCCTCCGTGGAGTAGTGGTTAGAACGTCCGCCCGGAGAGCGGAAGGTCGCGGGTTCGATCCCCGACCGCGTCATACCAAAAGACAATATGGTACTTGTTGGTCCCTGCCTGGCGCTCAGCATTAATGGGTACAACAAGGACTGGTCGGCTCGGAGTCAATATAATGTGTCTGAGTGGGGGTATTCATGCTTCACTGCGGCATGGTATCTCAGTTGGCTAGCACTATAAAACCAGCTTCAGTCTGGGCTAGTACAAGCAGTCGCACATACACATACACACGCATGAACGTCGTCATATGGCAAATATTTCACAGGTACGACGTTAAACCCAATTTCACCTCACCTCACCTCCAGTGCGGCGTTAAACTACACACAATCGAATACACTTAGTGTATGTATATTATTAATGGTGTAGCTGTCTGATTGTCTTTATGTATTTATTTTGTTTTGACAGAGCGTAGACGTAAATACCATGATCCTCGACTGTCCCTTCACAGACCACAACTCGATATACTTCGTGATGACGTCGCAAGACGAGTACGTCATAGGGCACTCCGTTCATGCTAATCGTGCTAACCACATGACGGTGTACTAGTGCTTCAGTTGACTAAGGCGCTGTAATTCGCGTCACATATGAAAGTAGAACTCTAACAACAGTAGTCTCCAATCGAGGGCCACAGCTGTGGTATGTTTGGACACTACAAAGAGATACATAATTAGGTCTGATGCCTTGTTGTTAACATATTCGTGCAGTGTTCTCAGGGTGTAAAGTGCCATCAACACCCGTGAAGTTCATTTGTCTTCAGTAACCCATGCTTGTCGTAAGAGGCGCCTAACGGGATGGGGTACTTAGGCTCGCAGACTTGGTTGATACATGTCATAGTACCCCAATTCCGAACATCTTCGCTCATACTGCTGATCACTGGACTGTCTAGTCCAAGCTCGATTATTTACAGACCGCTGCCATATAGCAGGAATACTGCTGACTGCGGCGTTAACCAACCAACAAACAAACACCATCATTGCCCACATCCCAGGCCCGAAGTGTTTGTTTTTTTCATTTTCGTGTAAGCGTATTTCATTTTTGTTTTTCTCCAGCTTCCGTGTGCGATTAGAGGAGGAAGGGAGACAACTCTTCGAGTTTCTAGTCACTATATCAAAGGGACAAATAGAGGCAAATTCGAGAACATTTCCTTTGGCCCCGACACCATCCACGAGATCCTGGAGGGTGTTACGTAAAGGAGGACGATATGAAGTACGTACTGTATATACACCGAGTGAGTGAGTGTGAATGTGAGTGAGTGAAGGTGTGAGTGTGAATGTGAGTGTTAGTGAGAGACAGAGTGAGTTAAAGTGTGAATGAGTTAAAGTTTGTGTGAATGGCTGTGTGGGTGGCTGAGTGGGTGTGGGTGTGTTGGTGGATTGATGAGTAAGTGAGCGAGAGCTTGGGTGTGAGCGTTATTGTGTGAGTGAGTGTGTGGATGTAAGTGTGAATGAGTGGGTGAGCGTATGTGTGAGAGTGTGTGTAAATGAATGGATCATAAATGAATGAATGAGGTTTCCGGAGTCCGCGCGTGTGCGAGCGTGCATTGTTTCAATGTGTGCCTGTGTGTGTGTGCGTGCATGCGTGCGTGCGTGTATGTTCTGGAAAAGTTAATGTGACAATTTTCACTTTCTGTATGTGTGTGTGATCGAGCTGGTACATATGTGACTGCGTGTGGGTGTGCTATAGGTAGGCTGTATCTTATGGTGAATAACAGTAATATCTCCAGAATATATACGTTAATATATATTGTTAATTATGAGGAAAGAAGTTCCTGGGCCCCGTTTCACAAAGCGATCGCAGCGCTAAGGTAATCGTAACTCCCATACTTTAACATAGACTTACGATTGCTACGATCGCTTTGAGGAAAGGGACCCTGCTTCATTGAAAGTACTTGTTTCTGTAATAGCTTTACATGAACGGGGAGAAGACTGCTCATTATAACGGCCAAGCTGGCCAGGGCGCAGGAGTGCAGGAACTGGCCGTAATTGGGCGTGGAGGTCTACAAGAAGTTCGGCTCTTATCCCCGGGGGCCCCGGAACCCGTTATCCCACCCAAGCCTGCTCCTGTTACAGCTGTTCCAACATCGCCTGCATTGACAACACCTGCATCTACTACACCTACATCGACTACGCCTGCAGCAACAACAGAGGGCAGCCCTGTAATCGTTGAAACAGGTCGTAAGTAATTTTCGTTTATTCGTGTTATTGCTCTGTACTTGTATGTATAATTTTAGTATTTGAGGCATGAAAGTGGACTGACGAAGGTACCGCCAAACAGTATTACATTCGAATATGGTACCACCATACCGACTGTCCGGGGATTCTCTTCACAAAGGAACGTAACCTTGCACGATACACCGTACGTCTTAAGTTAACAATGGCACAGCGAAGTGTTTAAAATGTTCGCTTGTCATGCCAGAAACCCGGGTTCGATTCCCAAGTTTGCTACAATGTGTGAAACCTATTTCTCGTGTTCCTCGCCTTGATTATCAATGATGTAAAAGCGGCGTAAAAGAATAATCACTCACTCAATTTAAGTCCGAGTTAAGTGGGGCACCGGAACTTCTTACAATGTTTTTTCACCATCCATTATTTGGTCCTACATTTAAAATGGAATTATATAAGGGCAGAGTGAAGTTGTGGGTGTGAATGCGAATATTAGCGTGAGTTAGTGAGTGAGAGGTATACGCCGCTTTATGCACTATTCCAGCAATATCCACCCGTGAAGATCCGGGCTGGAATTGATCTTCAGTAACCCATGCCTGTCGTAAGAGGCGACTAACGGGATTGGGTGGTCAGGCTCGTTGACTTGCTTGACACTTGTCATCGGTTCACAATTGCGCAGATCGATGCGCATGCTGTTGATCACTAGATTGTCTGGTCCAGACTCGATTATTTACAGACCGCCGCCATATAGCTGGACTATTGCTGATTGCGGCGTAAAACTAACCTCACTCACTCAGAAATGGACTTCACACATTGTACCCATATGGGCAGTCAAACCTGGGCCTTGAACGTGACTAGCGAAGGCTTTTAGCACTAGACAACCCAACTGTCCCTGCATATAAGATAGCAAAAAAATAGTACTTGTAGAAGTATTTTGCCAGTCTAAGCCATAATCACATGAAAATCGGACTGAAAGATATATGATCTATTTCTCCCAGATCTGGTTGAAACCCGCGTCATTCATTCACTCACTCACTCATATTAACTTTTACCTGGAGAATCACGACAACTCCATACCTGTTTTCATCTTAATACAAAAGTAATCCCAGTATTTTCACAGGGAATTTAGCTTTCAAGAAGCCCGTGTTGGCAAGTGCCGTGATGTATGAGCGTTACACAATGGACACCGTCGTGGACGGCAAGACCCACAACAACGTCACCGCTAACCACTGCTTCGTGACAGTCGCCGTTGAGCCGTGGGTCATGGTCGACCTGGTCTCTGTGTACCACGTCACTTCTGTTGCCTTGACAAGTGGAAATACACACGGTACGTTAACATTCGTCACCAATCGCCCCTTTCCGTAACCTCCACGATCCGGCTTGTCCCGGAATAACACGAGTTGGTCACCGATGGGTACGTTAACTTCAACATTACATCATCCAGACAAGGAAATCAATGGTGATGTCGCTTTCTGCATAGACGTTCCGGATGCGGGTGTTTCCTGAATAAGAATAAAATTCAGAATAAAAATTTATCACTATCAAACACCAAATCATATTTTGAATTTATATTCGTGATAATATTTGTAAAATTCTGTAAATCGAGCTTAAGTTTTTCGAAAATCTTCATACCACAAAGGCTTATGTTATTTTTTCAGGTATATTTTTAATATTAATCTTTATACTTTCAGCAATTAGGCCACAGAATCAAAATGTTTTCGAAGCTAGAACGTTAAAGCTGAATAGGTCATGTTTGCTAGAAACTAATTATAACAAGGATTGTGCGCAGTGCAAATGTTGTACATATCCTGTTACTGACTGCATTTTTACTAACATCGCTGAATTTCTGCTATTTCGAGGATTGCGAATTTTCTCATGAAATATATCGCACATGCACAGTAATAGGCGAAAAAAAGTTGCATTTTAAATTTCGAAGGTAGATCCGTTTCCTGTGAAGTATATTCGAAACTGGAAGTGTTAGTATGACGTTTTCGATATTGGATATCAGTATATGTGGGTATATTAACGCAGTTAGTGCAGTTATGAGTAATACAACACCAGTTGAGTGGAATTGTATTGTCAGGTTGAATTGGTAAATTAATATCATTATTTACTCTCATACTACTTTGGACAATACAAACCTCGAGCGTGTTCTTATGTCCTCCCTTCTTTTATGACGTCATTACGAAGTATTGTGACGTCATGTGGTACGACATCAAAGTACGTGATAGCGTAGCGCCGATTCTGAAATATATGTGTGTGTGTGTGTGTGTATATATATATATATATATATATATATATATATATTAGAGTACAGACATAATGTCATATTATATATAAATTATTACAAACTTAATTTAAAAAACGAACTGTGTACACGAGCAACATGTGGTATTTTATTTCTGTAGAAAGTTTCAACATTGCACTGAAAAAACAGACATACGGCAACGCCAATTTCGATGCACATTCATCGTATGACAACGCCGTCGACGGTAACCTGAACGCCGTCAGGACCCGCGGGAGCTGTTTCACCAGCGCTGGTAACACTGGGTGGTGGATGGTGGACCTCGGCGACAACTACGACATCGACAGCGTGGCTCTACAACCACGTTCTGATGGCTATCGTGAGTACTCAATTATCGCCTTATCTCGTAAATCTGAGATCGTCCTATTGTTAAATATATACCCCCCAACCCCACCCCAAGAAAGAATAAATATGTTATTGTCCTCCTGTGGGGGTACGTATGTCTCAAAACATTCAAAGTAAAAAAAAAAACGTAGTGTTTTTGTGATTTTACATTTTGGCTAAATTTAACTCCTATCACCAAGAGATGGAGGGATGATGTAAATCCGGCTAGGTTCCATGCAGGTATCAAAAGTACTATAAGTCCCCATGATCTCTAGCATGGTGATTTACCTTCAGTTGTAAGTGATCTATAGCCCGATTTTATGTTAGTTTTATATTGCTATATGGCTAGTAGTTTTACTGTTCTTCGGCAACAGGTTTAAAATATGTTTCTAATTTTATTGATCTTTAATATGATAATTAATTGTTCTCGTTACGATATGGCTGAAATATTGCCGATGTGACGATAAATATTAACCCACTCACTAATATAGATGTACACCAGAAAGCAAATCATAAGAGCTTACGGTACGAGTGTGACGTCATCGGATCGCGGATTCGCTTCATTGTATTTTGGATATCCCACTGTGAAAGATGAAGAACTTGTATATTTCACAGCTGACCAGTTGTCGGACATGACTGTCCTGGTGTACCATACCAACCCCGAGACTGACCCCTCGGCCACGCCCACTGTGTGTAGGGACATCCCTGGCGTCATCATGACTTTTAACAAGATACCGTGTGTGACGTCAGTGTCGGGCCGGTTTGTTCGCCTACAGCGGATGAACGGGGTGCAAAAGGGCCACTTCACCGCCTGTGAAGTACAAGTGTATGGACTCCTTCGTGAGTAAAGCTGCTCTGCTCAGAGAACTTATCTTATATAAGTACTCATTAATATCTTATATATTAAAGTAACAATATGCTAATACTTTGATGTGATTACAAAGTCGTAGGGTAGTTTGATTTGTTAGTTGTTGTTTAACGCCGCAATCAGCAATATTCCAGCTATATATACCAGTGGTCTGTAAATAATGGCGTCTAGACCACACAATCCAGTGATCAACAACATGAGCATCGATCTACGCAGCTGGGGTACGATGACATGTGTCAACCAAGTCAGCAAGTCTTGCCGTCCGACCCGTTGGTCGCTCTTACAACAAGCATGTGTTGCTGAAGACCAATTCTAACCCGGATCTTCAGGGGTCTCGCATCTCGTAGAACAGAATGAGTAAATATGTGTCTTCAGGACCCCATACTTCAGAAAATGACACAGTATCATACCTTTACACGAGCTGCGTTCAATCTGAACACGTGCCTGCTTATCAGTGATACAGGTGAAGCTAATCTATTCTTAAATTTGATGTTTTGCATCTGAAAGCAATCCATCATTACCCGTCAAATATCTACCTCCCTGATTGGCTTGTTGTCATGCCGTCTGCACAGACATCAAATTCCTTGTCATGACATCACACCTGAACGTGTTCTCATTTTGAGTTTCCTCGGAGCTGATGTCATTACTTCCGGTGATTGTACCAGTGATCATGAGGAGCGGTGGTGTAGCCTAGTGGTTAAAGCGTTCGCTCGTCATGCCAAAGACCTGGGTTCGATTCCCCACATAAGTACAATATGTGAAGCACATTTCTGGTGTCCCCTGCCGTGATATTGCTGGAATATTGCTAAAAGCGGCGTAAAACTAAACTCACTCACTTACTCTGTGATCGCAAGGAGGTTATCTGTTGGTGTGCACAAACGTTAAGCGTGTTGCTGCCAATTTTCCTCTTCTTCTTTTTGGGGCGGTGGGGTAGCCTAGTGGTTAAAGCGTTAGACGTCACGCCGAAGACCCGGGTTCGAATCCCCACATGGGTACAATGTGTGAAGCCCATTTCTGTTGTTCCCCCGCCGTGACGTAGCTGGAATATTGCTAAAAGAGGCGTAAAACCAAACTCAGTCAGTCAGTCAGTCTTCTTCTTTTTATCATTATAGTTATTATTTTTACTGGTGGTTCTTTAAAATATTTTTTTAATAGTCATTGTGTTTCGTGCTACTAGAAGTACGAAATGAGTCAACGGTTCAACTCAAACTTTACAGACGTCGCTATTAACGGAGAGCCGCCAACTTATTCTGAATGCATATTCCACACCAAACTGACAATATAGTTTATAATATATCTGTTCTTACAAACAATATCAGAGACACAACATGGAGAAATCGCGATAAGGGTGTACAGTCAGAACCCGGAAGTCAACCCTAAAGCTGTTGGTTCACTGTGCGTGACGGCGACTGCACAAAAAGATGGCGCTGGAAACAAACTGCAGTGTACCACTCCGGTCCTCGGGCGGTTTGTGAGGGTACATTACGTGGCTGGTACTAGCGATGTACTCACTATTTGTGAACTGGAGGTGTTTGGGAGCAAAGGTGAGACATAACGTACCAGCAGCGAGATATCAGATATCAGGGTGAGATATATCTTAGCAGGGCGAGACATCTCGAAGCTATGGTCCGACAAAATTGGGATATTGTTTACTAAATGAGAGATATTGCATATAACATACATATATTGCATACCAGAAGGTGACTTCTTGCAAGCAATAAGATCTTGCATACCGAAGGTGAGACATCGTTTTTGAAATAAATATATTGCATACCAAATTAATACATCATGGATCATCAAGTTGAGATTTGTATACCACAGACATAACATACCTAAATGGGTTACCGCATACCGAAGAAGCACCACAACATGTCAGTGAAATATCAAATGTCATGTCAAGTTTAGACAGTGCATGAGAGAGTAAGGTATTATACGACAAAGATGAGAAATAATTGATGAATGTGAGAGTCAACAGTAAAGTTGAGAAATTACGAGATATCGAACTTGATAAGAACACGATCCGGGGTGAAATATAGTCTGTCTCACAGTCCTTGGCTCGCATTATTTTCCTTTCTGCCCAGCCCTTTCTGCTAAAGCCTTATATAAAGCAAAGTTTAGATTTCCCCAAGTTCGATCTCCCATCTCTCAGTGGGTAGGTAATAGTGTTGGGAATTGGTTCAAATCTCATAATTGATGATTGGTTCATTACTACCGATCAATCATCGAAAATAATTGGTTAGCGTCATTTATGAAATTTGTTAATGCACATAAAAATAAGGAAAAAATCATGTAGTTCTTTTAGCTTTTTTGGCAAAATTTCACATCTTTAAAGGATGACTAGTATGTTGGGAACATAAATTTCTTGGAATCTTTAAGATAAATTCAATCATGACTTGAAACGAGCTTGCAGTGCTTACGAAATGTAACAGACAAACCAATCATGTAAAAACAAGTGTTCCAGAATTGTTTGTGTTCGATTATGAGAAATTATGATCGATTGCTTAGTCGTTTAGTCAGTACGACCAATCTTCGAATATTTCAAATAAACGGACCACCACTAGTAGGTATTGCAGTGTTCAAAGTGTCATTGCATTTATAATTTGATGAGGTTCTTGTTTACCCCCACTATCTGTGTCTTCCGTCTTGTAGTCACTGGGTGGAGCCCATTCTCCTGTCCCAATCCCCCCCTGCTGGACAAGGCCATGGTGGATGTCCACTACTCGCAGACCGCGGCTGTGGCCGTGTACTCCTGTGACGACGGCTACTCCGGCGGCTGTGACGACAACAACGTCCTCTACTGTACCAGTGACAAGGGCTGGGAGGGTCAGCCCAGGACCTGCATTAGGGTGGACTCTGGAACGGATGAGACGGTAGGAGTTAGAGATGGTTGGAATATCGTTTTGATTCTTCATCTGAACCTGCAGGTCCAACCTGATTCCACCATTGAATGTTTCTGCCAGAATCTGTTTAACTGATGTAAGTACTTTTCAACATCTAAAGACTATACGAAAACAGGAAACACTCAAACTGGTTGTAAACGTCCCTGTGTATTCGAACCTTTGATATCTCGAAGTATTTAGGTAACTCCCTTTATTTGGAAACAAACGTGTATGATGGTGTTATTTGTGTACACAGATCGGGTCCGTGGAGCTACCGTGTCGGTTGAAGGTGGGCTTTGCACATGAAGTGTGGGTCGAGCCCAGGCAGAGCGGGTAACGTAACCAGATCGTTCATAGCTTGCCTTTATAGAAATTGAATTACAATAATAGCAACAAACCCATTTCCTCGGCAAGAGCTTTTCGCACAGAAATTTATTTGGTTTTGAAAAACTCTATCAAACAGTTTGTTCCGACGGCATATGATAGACTAGTGGATAGAGCGTTCGCTCGTCACACCAAAATAAGCGGGGTTCGATTCCCGTCGTGCATACAATCCGTTGCTTGTGTCTTTCCCCGTGATATTGCTGTAATACTGTTAACCTTACTCACTCAATCATGACATCAGATATTCAAGAACCGCTTCAAATTGTTTATAAATTCAAATTTGTGATACATTCCACCATGGCACTGGGGCTTAGCGGTACGCCTGTCGTAAGCTGATGCTAGAGTATGGAAGTTGCTATCTATCACCTTGGCGCTAAGATAACTTAATACAATAGGCCAAGACCGGTCTCAATCGTCAGTCACTAAATTGTCTGATCCAGACTCAAGTATTTACTGACCGCCGTTACACAGCTTAAATACTGCTGAGTGTGCCAAAAAAAGGAAACCACGAAATAAACACACACAAACTCAACCTCAGCTGCAGCATATGCTTCCAAAACGTCTGGACACATGGAAAGGCATAAGCTCGAAGATCCTTACGGAAGATGGCAGAGACAGCAGGATCTGTATTTGAAATGAACATGCCACTTGTCAACATGACATTGTCCACACGACTACCTTTTACACAATCAAGTCTGATTCAATGTTATTAGATCGGGTGGGTAGCATCGAAGCGTTCTAATCGTCACGTTGATGCACATATTGAAGCAGCCCATTTCTAATGTCCGCCATCGTGATAGTGCTGGAATATGAGAAGGTCATAAAGCTATACTCACTCGCTCCACGTTACTATTGATGTATGTTCAGATATTGCCATTTGTATAACCATTTCTGTGTCCAATACAGGTCGTACATCGCTTTCAAGGCCGGCAATGACACAGCCATTCAGATGACCCTGGAGTGGCCGACCGAAGGGCCGTACATCAGATACTCCTATGAAGTCGATGGTGTATCCACCACCATCCCTGCTGACACGCCCATGCCGTTCCAGGGTCGGAGGGTGACTCACGTGGCCCTCCTCTTCCTGACAGAACGCCTCCAGGTACGTTCATATAGGTACGTTGCACCTGCGTCTTTACGTTGTTTATTTTTTGTTTATGGTTCACTGTCGCAATCAGCAATGTTCCTGCTACATCACGGCAGTTTAAAATAGTTGAGTGAGTGAGTGAGTGAGTGAGTGAATGAAGGAGTGAGTATGGTTTTACGCCGCTTTTAGCATTATTTCTGAAATTTCACGGCTTTGGACACCAGAAATGGGCTTCACACATTGTACCCATGTGGGGAATCGAATCCGGGTCTTTGGCTTGACGCTAAAATAGTTGAGTCTCCATGGGGGTAGCCTGTGGTAAGTAAGTGGTTTGCTCGTCACTTCGAAGGCCCGGGTTCTATTCCCCCCATGGACACATGTGTGAAGCCTTTCCTTATGTCCCCTGTCGTGATATTGTTGGAAAACTGCTACCCGCCTCACTCACTCAACAACCGGCACCACCTACCCTCTCTGGTCGTATCTTATCACAGCTGAATGTATGGACGAGACGGTCAGTGAGTGATACCATGAGTGAGTCAGTGAGTGAGTGTAGCTTTACGCGGCTTTTAGCAATATTCCAGCAATATCACGGCAGGGGACACCAGAAATGGGCTTCACACATTGTACCCATGTGTGGAATCGAACCCGGGTCTTCGGCATGACAAGCCAACGCTTTAACCACTAGGCTACCCCACCGCCCCAACTGATACTATGAGCATTGTCCATCAGAATTTTGGGTACGACGCAAAGCAATAAATCAAATCACCGAGCCTTATCGATTTATCCATATTTTTTTTTGCGTGGAAGGTAACCGAGACAATGTAGTTCGATGCCACAGCAGCAATATGCAAACTATATCATGGAAGGCTTTAAGACTATTGCAGCAACGGCTAGAGAAATGAGTGAGTGAGTTTAGTTTTACGCCACACCCAGCAATATTCCAGCTATATGCCGGCTGTTTGTCTGGACCAGACAATCCAGTGATCAACAGCATGAGCATCGATCTGCACAATGGGGAACCGATGACATGTGTCAACCAAGTCAGCGAGCCCAACCACCCGATCCCGTTAGTCGCCTCTTACGACAAGCATGGGTTACTGAAGATCAATTCTGACCCGGATCTTCACGGGTCCTAGAGAAATGAACACAAAATACTGGGTATCTCTCCTGTCCTAGAATCAACACAAACTGCCGGCATACGATGACAAGAAGAATGAATCGTTTGAATTTAACAGTTTTAATTTGTCAGGTGTGATCAGATAAGACAAGAGTGTTTACTGTCAACTCTGCCTTTACAGATTCTAGTTGAAGGTGAGACCCTCCTGTCTGTCTCCCACCACGTACCAGCGCCACTAATCGACAAAATCGTTGTGGAGGACGAGAAACTGTCCATCAAGAAAATCAAACTCAATCAAGACTGGACAAAGATGACTCAAAAAGGTATGGACTTGTATAGATGTAAAAACATATCATTTGAAAATTACAAGGTTATTATATACATATAATGGCATATAAAACAAACTAGTTATATCAACATAATTAGTTTGTTTATTTGTTCTAGTCATCCGTGAACGTCGTCTATTTCATGAGTGAGTGAGTGAGTATGGTTTTACGCCGCTTTTTAGCAATATTCCAGCAATATCACGGCGGGGGACACCAGAAATTGGCTTCACACATTGTACCCATGTGGGGAATCGAACCCGGGTCTTCGGCGTGACGAGCGAACGCTTTAACAGGCTACCCCACCGCCCCTCTATTTCATGAAGGCACAACTCTATTTAGAAACTGGTCTAATGTAACATTTTATATTTGGTCTTACACGTTCTCAGTAACGTACAGATACTAAGTACTTTTTGGGGTGTCTCATCCGGGCTTTGAACCAACACTCTCCGAGTCAAGCACCTATTCGCCAGGACACGAAGTAAGCAATCTAACCGACTCAGCCACCTCGGCTTCCACAAAAAGGAAGTCTGAGAACTGGTACTCTGGATCACGTGCTTTGTGTACCTGTCTAGTAAATTGTATGTCAGACTGTTTTTCCAGAGTCCAGTCGCAGCCTTTCGTTGAGGAAGCCGACTACAGCCTCTTCCAACGCGGAACGGTCAGGGCTCGTGGTGGACGGGTCAAAACAATCACTGACCGCAATATCGGCGTCTTGTTGGCAGTCGGACGCCAATGACTTGGCGCCCTATTGGCAGGTGGACACGCAGAACTACTACATCATCACAGCTGTTGTCGTGACCAGCCGTAATGGCGACAGGTGTCCGGCAGGAGGCTGCGGTAGGTTATGTGTTTCATCGTACAAGAATGACACATGTCCCCTGCCCCGAACGTGGGATTTGTTTAACTGTCACCAATGGCTTTGTTAAGAGACTTGGACGTATGGTGGTTATGGATTAATGACGCTTTTAGCAACATTCTAGCACTCTCACCAGGCACATGCTTCACACATTGTACCCATGTTGGGAATCGAACCCGGGCGAACGCTTTAACCACTAAGCTACCCCACCGCCCCATAGGTGTATGAGTGAGTGTAGTTTTACGCCGCTTTGAGCAATATTCCAGCAACATAACGGCGGGCGACACTAGAAATGGTCTTCACGCATTGTATCCATGTGGAGAATCGAACCCGGCGTTACGAGCGAATGCTTTAACCACTAGGCTACCCCACCGTCCCCATAGGTGTATGAATGGTAACATGTACCACAATATCATGTCAATATGGAAGAGGGGCGGTGGGGTAGCCTCACTCAGTTATGGGCGTAGATATCAACAGATGATCAGACCAACTGACAAGATGATCGGCAAACTAAATGAGCAAATGATCAATACAGTTAGGGGTGGTGGGGTAGCCTAATCGTTAAGGCGTTCGCTCGTCACGCCAAAGAAACGGGTTCGCTTCCCCACATGGGTACAATGTGTTAAGCCCATTTCTAATGTCCCCCGCCGTAATATTGCTGGAATATTGCTAAAAGCAGCGAAAACCATACTCACTCACTCACTCAATACAGTTAAATTCGTACCTCAGTGCTCTGTGAATACTAACGCCCTGTGTGTTTTCAGTTGGTGGGTGGTTATGGTTTTATGTTGCTTTTAGCAATATTTCAGCAATATCACCAGCTTCACATATTAAACCCATGAAAGGAATCGAACCCGGGTCTTCGGCGTGACGACTGAACGCATTAACAACTAGGCTATTCGATGGCTTTTGTTTTAAAGCTCTACGACAACGTCACATGTTGTGTTGCAGAGGGGACATAAAATTGGTAAACGATTGAAAAAAAGCCCTTAACAATTTTAAAAAACTTGTCCCGGTCCTCAAATTTTGCCGCTGTATTCATTGGTGGTCACATGCAGAGTAAAGCTCATTTCACACACAGGCGTCATACACAGGCGATTGAATCGTATCGTTTCTGCTTTAGGTTGTGATGCTCAGCACTGTTCCAACTATATGCAGGCGGGAGATAAATAATAGAGTCTGGACCAGACAATCTAGTGACTGACATCATGAGTATTTGTCTACGGAATTAGGATAAGCATGGCTTGCTGTAGGCTGAATTCTAATCCGGATCCTCACAAGTTAGACACAGTCCAATCACTCTGCGACACATTTACCAAACAAACTTTCCATTTCAGGCGGTGGTCTCCATGACTACGCACTGGACGTGTATCTGACCAATCCGGTCACAGATCCCAATGCCAAGGCCGGTCTATGTCAGTTCGTCAACGGCGAACACGTAATCTCCCGGTCCCAGTACAAGCCGTGCCGGGAGGAGCACCTGGGGAGATACGTCAGACTCAGAGGCACCGTGAGGAACAGCATCACTGATGTACTCACAGTCTGTGAGGTCGAAGTGATGGGCTACAAATATGTCTTAAAATGTGAGTAATATCTAGTGTTTCTAGTGTTAACTGAAACAACTGTGGTCATGTAACCCTTTAAGAATCATACGCATTGATAACTTGATACTTGGAAATCTGTCATCGCTTGCTGACTAATAACATATATCTGACTAATAACATCATAATATCAACACAAAGAGATCCTGCGTGTGGTCTTGTGCACAGAGCTCAGGTCACGAATCAGTTGAAGTTTATCCTTGGCTGGGTGACCGTGTTTGGCAACTTGACTCCTGAGAGTGTCTAGGACTTCAATCCTGTTCCACAACGAAGCACATGTGATACATGTGGTCTCACCTTAGGCAAGTGAGTTTGTTCAAATTGCCTCTGTTCACCCAGCAGAAAATGGGTACCCGGTGGGATAAAGTCATGTGACTATAACCTTCTAACGCCTAACAGCTTGGGTTATCCGGGGTAATAAGAATCAGATTCTGATTAAGCGCCGCGAGCAATCACTTGGTGTTTGGAGACTGTGCCCTATATGGCGGCGGTGTGTAAACAATCGAGTCTGGACCAGACAATCCAAGATGACTTATTATTATTATTATGACCATGTTCGCAAGTGGGCATTACGATGGTCTAAGCGCTGGGTTCGCATTAAGGATGGGCACCCTGAGCGTCGATACAAATCGTATGCTATTGTGATAAGTTTACTGTTAATATGTAAGTTTGTGGTTTAATGTCAATGTTTAATGGATAATGTCCTTAATGTCATCCTTGTTTGCATCAGTTCACTACAAAATGTGTCAATATCATGTACATGCTATGTAATGTTGCGGTGTTCAACTGTGATATTAATCTACAACCATACACTACAACGCTATTATATCACACAGTCTCTTTAATCCGTTTAGGTGTGACTAATGAAGTCTCACTCAACAATCTGATTGGTTGGGTTGTTATTTAACGTCGCGCTCAGCAATATTCCAGTTATATGGCGGCGGTTTGTAAATAATCGAATCAGGACCAGACAATCCAGTGATCAACAGAATGAGCAGCGATGTGTCAATTAAGTCAGCGGGCCTGACCGCCCGATCCCCTTAGTCGCCTCTTACGACAAGTATGGGTTGCTGAAGATCAATTCTAACACGGGTTGTCACGGATATTTATAACAATCTGACTATTTACGCAACAATGTGTAATTATTGACACGTTTTGTCTTTTAAAACAATATCAGCTGAGAAAAGTACCTGGTCCCCTAAAGACTGCCCCTTCCCCCCTCTGCTGGAGAACATGGCGGTTCAAATATCCCACACCCTGGAGGAGGCAGTGGCTACCTACGTCTGTGACGACGGCTACGCCATGTGCAGTGACGACAACGTCGTACGTTGTAACAGCAGTTCCGGATGGCGGGGACAACCACAGCCGTGTGAACCCATGGTGTTTGGATCGGTAGGTTTCCTTGCCTTGCTGTGACGGTATTGTTTTCTACCCTGCCATACACTACTATACTCTACTATACTCTACTGTACAAATACAATATTTACATATAACCTACCCTGTTCTTCTCTCCGCAGTTGCAACCCGTGAAGATCCGGGGTAGAATTGGTCTTCAGCAACCCATGTGCTTGCCATAAAAAGGCGACTATGCTTGTCGTAAGAGGCGACTAACGGGATCGGGTGGTCAGTTTCGCTGACTTGGTTGACACATGTCATCGGTTCCCAATTGCGCAGATCGATGCTCATGCTGTTGATCACTGGATTGTCTGGTCGAGACTCGATTATTTCCAGACCGCCGCCATATAGCTGGGATATTGCTGAGTGCGGCAACTAAACTCACTCACTCACTCTCCGCAGTTGCGGTGGGGGCAGCCTAGTCTTCAAAGCGTTCGCTCATCACGCCGAAGACCGGGGTTCGATTTTCCATATGGGTATCATGTGTGAATCCTATTTCTGGTGTCCCCGCCGTGATATAGCAGGAATATTACTAAAAGCGGCGAAAAACTAACTCACTCACTCTTGCCTCCGCTAACCGACCATACCCTGTTTGTAAACATCCTTAACGTTAATACAGCAATTTTTTTATTTTTCTACAAGTTTACAGACATGGTTTTAAAAGCATCAACCATTACTAAATCTGGTATCACTTTGTTTAGATGAACAGATACGAGTTCAGCTGTCCTATCAAACTCGGCACTAGTCTACACCTATGGACTACCCCTGACGGCCTGAAATCGTAAGTCATGAATTCGCTCCAGTTAATGCACATGTGTTGGGGAGTCAAGTACCTAGTGTGCTAACGAGTAGCTTCGATTTACTGCTGAATATGTTTTGAAAACAAATTCCCGAAACTATTTCATACATGGCTTGGAGATCGTCTAGTGCGAAGTAAATGAAAGCAAAGCAGACAGTTGCTCTCTATTAATGTATTGTGCCAGCCTTGCAACTTTGGAACACCACCCGTCAGGCTCCTGGTTAGAATTGGTCTTCAGAAACCCATGCTTGTCGTAAAATGCGACTAACGGGATCGGGTGGTCAGACTCGCTGGCATGGTTGACACATGTCATCGTATCCCCATTGCGTAGATCAATGCTCATGCTGTTGATCACTGGATTGTCTGGTTCAGACTCGATTGTTTACACACCGCCGCCATATAGCTGGAATATTGCTGAGTGCGGCGTTAAACAACAAACCAACAACAGACCTTGGAACACAGAACCAATGAATGAGCGAGTTGATGACAGAGTTGAAGCCTTGTTCTCTATTGTTCCAGGAAGCCAGCGGTGTTCCTGCAGATTAAACAAATACCGACAGTGATGAGCTTGAGTCTTGATCTCAACAGCCCCGGGGTATTTCATATAAAAGATGACTTTAAGCCACAGCGGGCCTTTACCGTGAACTTCCCTTCAATAAGAACCGATGTGGAATACCATTTCGTATACACATTCCTCAGCGATTATCTCCAGGTAGGTGGAATCAGGCTAAAGGATTCAGAAGGACGGAGATCTCTATTCTTTCGCTGGGCACACATTTGCCACAGATGAGGGTTTAGAGTTCGCCTTGGTTTGCCTAGTGAGCTGGAAGGAAACCCTCAGATTTGTTCTAAATCTAAATCAGAGTTGTCCTAAATGTGTGAACACACTGGCACAATAATTTTTTTGGGTTCATCTCCTTGAGATTTGGTTTCTGTTACTGTTCTCTTATGTTCCTCTGCTATTGACATTCCTGATCAGATCGATAAGATCGTGGATGTTCTTGTGTTACAGGTTAAAATTAAGGATGTTCTTGTGGTGCAGGTCAAAATCAAGGATGTTCTTGTGTTACTGGTCAAAATCAAGGATATTCTTGTGGTGCAGGTCGAGATCGGTGTCGTTTTTGTTTTCTAGGGTCAGATTAATGATGTTCTTGCGTTCCAGATTCAGATCTATATTGTTATTGTGTTCCAGATTCAGATCAAAGATGTTCTTGTGTTGCAGGTTAAGATCAAATATGTTCTTGTGCTACAGAATAAAATCAAAGATGTTCTTGTGTTACAGGTCGAGATCGATGGCGTTCTTGTGTTCCATGGTCAGATTGATGATGTTCTTGTGTCCAGGTTGATATCGATGATGCTCTTGTGTTGCAGGTTGATATCGATGATGTTCATGTGTTCCAGGTTGAGATCGATGATGTTCTTGTGTTTCAGGTTGAGATCGATAATGTTCTTGTGTCCAGGTTGATATCGATGATGCTCTTGTGTTGCAGGTTGATATCGATGATGTTCCTGTGTTGCAGGTTGATATCGATGATGTTCTTGTGTTGCAGGTTGAGATCGATAATGTTCTTGTGTCCAGGTTGATATCGATGATGTTTTTGTGTTCCAAGTTGAGATCGATGATGTTCTTGTGTTCCAAGTTGATATCGATGATATTCATGTGTTCCAGGTTGAGATCGATGATATTCATGTGTTCCTGGTTTAGATCTATGATCTTGTTTTCCAGATGGAGCTCGATGTGGTTTTGTTTTCCAGGTTGATATAGATGATCTTCTTGTGTTTCAGGTTGATATCGATGATGTTCTTGCGTTCCAGGTTGATATCGATGATGCTCTTGTGTTGCAGGTTGATATCGATGATGTTCCTGTGTTCCAGGTTGATATCGATGATGTTCTTGTGTTGCAGGTTGAGATCGATAATGTTCTTGTGTCCAGGTTGATATCGATGATGTTTTTGTGTTCCAAGTTGAAATCGAAGATGTTCTTGTGTTCCAGGTTGATATCGATGATGTTCTTGTGTTCCAGGTTGAGATCGATGATTTTCTTGTGTTTCAGGTTGAGATCGATGATGTTTTTGTGTCCAGGTTGAGATCGATGATATTGATGTGTTCCAGGTTGAGATCTATGATCTTGTTTTCCAGATGGAGCTCGATGTGGTTTTGTTTTCCAGGTTGATATAGATGATCTTCTTGTGTTTCAGGTTGATATCGATGATGTTCTTGCGTTCCAGGTTGAGATCGATGATATCCTTGTGTTCCAGGTTGAGATTGATTGTGTCCTTGTGTTCCAGGGTCAGACTGATGTTCTTATGTTCCACCGTTCGATGTGGTCCTTGTGTTCCAGATTGATACCAATGATGGTCTTGTGTTCCAGATTGATATCAATGATGTTCTCGTGTTCCAGGTTGATATCGATAATGTTCTTGTGTTCCAGGTGGAACTTGATGATGTATTGATTTTAAAGTACCCTCACTACCAGCCTTCGCATAACCAAGGCCTCCTGACCACGTATGGTTTCAATAATAGAAAGGTTCTTATAGCAAAGAACGAAGCTGTCACGAAAGGTTGGTGATAACATGCATTTCTTTGGCTAGAGACATGACCTAGATAAACAGAAACAATTAACAACACTGCGCTCAGAATAATTCTGTCATCATTATTGACTGAAACTAAAAGTGGGATATTGTTGTTTCATCTGTGCTATCATAATCTCGGAGATTGCTCATTGACCTTGTGGGTAATTCGTTCGCTCGTTCTGCCGAAGACCTGGGTTTGAACCTATTCATGATTACAGCATGTAAGGCTCGTTCTTAGTGTCACAGTGTCAGGCAACGGACTATCCAGTGTGTCACGTTCACACTCTTTAAAACTTCGTGATAGAATCGAAATACAATACTATGTGCTGATGTGGGGATATCCTGTAAGATGTGTGTATTCATTAAAACAGTTCGTGGAGATATTTAAAATTGGATTGAAAGTAGAATTCATACAGTGCCTGCTTTAATCGACAAAACTTCAGTAGTTTCTTTTTCAATATGATTGGTCTGTTCCATCTTCAAAAAAGATTCTGTTAAAGGTTCGAAATTGATATTCGATGTAACATGAAACGCAGTTGATGCTTCTCTGTTCCCATGACAACTATTAAATGGCTAAGTGAGTGAGGGCATGAATGCCTTCAACGACAATGCTTGTCAACGCCACAGAGGAGGATATGGCGGTATTGTTTGACGTTTACCACTTTGGTAAAACCAAATCATCATTTGAAGGAATTTAGAATCCTGCTCGGCTAAGGGACATAACTCTGCAAAAGTGATCACTGAAGCCTAGGCTTCACGTGTGTATTAACGAAGATTCAAAAAAGGGTTGTTCATAGATATAGGCCTGGTACTTACAAAATGGAAAACAACGTTTCCAGAATTTCTTAAAATCATTAGAGTGAGTGAGTATGGTTTTGCGCCGCTTTTCGTAACATTGCAGCAATATCGCGGCGGGGGACAACAGAAATGGGCTTCACGCGCTGTACCCATGTGGGGAATCGAACCCGGGTCTTCAGCGTGACGGGTGGACGCTTTACCACTAGGCTATCCCACCACCCCTAAAATCATTAGAGCCAACTGACTTACATGAAGGACATTAACTAACAATATACCTTCAGAATCTCGGCTCGTCATGACGAAGACCCGGGTTCGAATCCCCACATAGGTACAATGTGTGAAGCCCATTTCTGGTGTCCCCCGCCGTGATATTGCTGGAATACTGCTAAAAGCGGCGTAAAACCATACTCACTCACTCTTTCAGAACCAGTCGGCACAAACCTTGCTTTGAACAAACCCGCCACATCCAGCTCGAACAAAGATGGGTCCCAGCCTGGCTGGCTCGTGGACGGCAACTCCTCCCCCGTCTGGAGCGACAACACCTGCTGGTCCCACACCGCAGCAGACGTCAACGTGTACTGGGAGGTGGACTTACAGGGCTACTACTACGTCGACAGTGTCGTCATCACAACCATCAAATGTACCGGTCCATGTTGTGAGTGTACTATGAGTTTCACTAAATAATGCTTAACACTGGATAGGCTTGGGAGATATTTTAATCTCAGGTCATGATATTTGTTACAAATAAACAGGACGTGGAACTTGTCCTCCATAACGTTAAGATCACATTGCAAACAGAGTGATTTATATACATGGTTACATGTTCATTTTTGTTTCTATGTAGGTTATCATAGGTCAGTAGGTTAATATTAAATTCATGAAGAGATATTCTAAATTTACATAAGGCTCTTAGCAAAGTCCGAGAGAGACACATTAAATATTTTTCAGGCTGCAACAAAGACTTAATGCTACTATAATTACTGAAATAGTGTGAAGATATATATAGAGAGAGAGATGACTGATACGGCTACTATTTCAGTGTTATTTAAACTCTACCGCTCTTTGTTTAAGTGATGAATTCCTTCATCCATAATTGGTATTAGGTAGAAACACGACAGTTAACCGTCACTGTAGTTTCTCAACTTTACTTTTGGCGACCGAACAGTCTATAACAGCCGTTCTGCCTTGCATGGGTTTGTGATCAAATTAAATTGAGTGAGCTTAGTTTTACGCCACTTTTAGCAATATTCCAGCAACATCACTACGGGCGACTTTAAAGACGAGGCTACACCACAGCCCCTATTAAATTAAAAACGACATCGTCCAAACAATTACAAATGTCGTCGTCTGCAAGCGGTCGCTGATTTCTGTTTGGACCACAGTCGATTGTAATCGAGCTGAAAAATCGCCATCGAGCTGAAATATTTTCGTTTGTTGCTTAACGCCGCACTCAGCAATATCCCACCTACAGTACAACCTATGGTGGCTCATTCGGGCCATCGCTTTATCGCCCTGAAAAATCTAGGCGATATTGCGACAAAGCGATAGCACGACACGATATTGCGATATGGCGACACGATATAGCGATATTGCGATACAGCCCAAAAACGAAATAGCGATAACACGACACGATATGGCGATAGCAAGACACGATATGGCGATAGCAAGACACGACATTGCGATAACTCGACACGACATTGCGATAACACGACACGAAATGGCGATAACACGACACGAAATGGCGATAACACGACACGAAATGGCGAAACAGCGATATTGCGATATAGCGATACGGCGATAATGCGATATAAACAAGCGACACGGCGATAGTGCGACATAACGATATGACGATATAGCGATACTGCGATAAAGCGAAATTGCGATAATGCGAAACAGCGATACGGCGATAAAGCGATATATTCATCTTTATATGAGTTTGTGTGTATGTGGTATGTACTTATGTGTATCTGTGTGATGCGTCCATGTTGTATTTGAATTAGTCTCGTATTAGTTTAAGTGAGAAAGCAAAAACTTTCTAGGGATTTCACGTAATGATAATATTCGGTGTATGCAAATGGATTTTATGCAATAGTAATCTTCTATGCATACCCATCATAAATATGGTGCTATTGTGTAACTCATCGTCTGAATCATCAAAATGCAGCAACAGCCGAATAATACAAACAGAAAGAAACACACATGATCGACGAAGCACTAAAAGGTGGGGTGGTTTTTATTATTTAAGACTAGATCTCTTATAGCAACTTCGGCGTCATATCACCACTAAGTAAAGCACAATGGAACAACGTCGGCGAATGGAATCACTGTTCCATCCAAAAGTGTTGAAAATTACACTAAATGTAAAAATGTTTGACTTATTTACCGGTTTTCTTTAAATTGTCATTACTAGCATATCATTTGGCTGATTATATTCGATCTTAATACATACAACACGAAGTAAAAGTTCGTTATTGTACAAATTTATCATTGTCTTATCTTTAAAACCATCGTATGATCTACAGCCAAATCGAGAAAGTGTTACTCTTACTTTGTGAAAGATAAGGTTCTGCTTTTTTAAAATAAAGTGTACTATTCAGCTTTTTCTAGAATTGGGTAAACTGCCATGCCGTTTTGAGATGTACATGTCTTTTAAGGCCCATGTTAAACGCCTTATGAACATCTGTAGCAAGTATACGTGTTGTAACTAAATATACACATGAGCGTTAATTAAGCACAACCTGAAACTAAGGACAATTTTAAAACTTTTAGCTCAAAAAGTCGATCATACTAGAATGCACATGTAAAGCACGTGCTTCACCCAATCTATAAAATGCAGTGGGTCGCAGGTTCATGTGCTGCGAACGCGCCTAATACATTGGGGTATATATTTCAAAATTGCAGTGTGTGCAGTTTGAACTGATATAAAAAATGACAGTACATGTATCTTTCCAGTAAAATCCTAATGCTCTTGCCTCAACAAATCTGATAAGAATATATGAATTGGACCTACTTTTGAAATCAAATACTTTAATCCAATCATGTGTAACATTGTATCCCGGGCTGTTTAGTTCGGCTATCTGTCTCCTCAAACACAGAAGTTCCTAAGCGGGTCCACAACACTTTATTCGGCGTCAAATATGCAATTACATGATAGTACAGCAATTGTATCGTATGTACAGTACATGTATGGTCAGTCTGCAGTACCCAGTACCCCATCCACAATATTAAGCTTCCGTGGCCAACCGGCCATTTGCTGCTGGCCTACACATGGCTTTGCTTTTAACTGCACTGTAAAGATTTAGATATACTACTTTTACTTAACTTAGTGAGTTTTGTTTTACGCCGCACTCAGCACTATTCCAGCTATATGGTGGCAGTCTGTAAATAATCGAGTCTGGACCAGACAATCCAGTGATCAACAGCATGAGCATCGATCTGCGCAATTGGGAACCGATGACATGTGTCGCCCAAGCCAGCGAGCCTGACTACCCGATCCCGTTAGTCGCCTCTTAAGACAAGATTGGGTTACTGAAGATCAACTCTATCCCGGACCTTCACGGGTGACTTAACTCAGGAATACACGAACTACTGTATATCCCCTTCAAAACCTACATCCCGCCAAATTGCCAACAATAATAGTCAAAAACTCTTAGATTGATTTACTATACAGTGGACTCTGAATTATCCGACAATCTGTGTATTCCGACATATATTTTTGGGCCCCGGCAGCGTTCTTCTATATTATCATCATATTAATATTGAATTATCTGACATCTGTACATTCAGAATTCCGACACCATTTTCTGGTTACAATGACACTATCACGCTGTACAATCCGACATCCTCTCCCCATATTAGACTAAAATAGCCATTCAACCTGTCAATGGCTACAATGGAGGATTTTTTCATGAAAGTGTGAATATGATTGTGATTGGGTAGTCCGCATGGTATGTACATTGTACTGAAGAGAATAAATACCAATGATACATGTGTATGTAAATACTGATTTAGTTTTTTTCCCTTTATTCACCGAGTAAATAGCTATCAAACATTAATTTCATGAAGCCAGTTACAATGTATGGTACTGTTTGAAAAGTATTCAAGCAACGAGACAGTGAATTATCCGATACGCTAAATAATTCGACAAGTTCCCCCGGTCCCAGTGAGTGTCGGATTATACAGTTTCCACTGTACCTACTGAAATTTATTTTGGTGTGCAATGTATTGTTTACTTATTTATAGATAGAAGAAGAAAAGTATTCTAGAACTTTTCGTTTATAATGATAGTTTCCTTTCTTGATAAGCAGCCACCATTCTTAAAAGTAGACACTTCAGAGATCGATTTCCCATAAGATTAGGCAGATCGATCAGGCACCGTAAGAGCCCAAATCTATTCTGATGAACTCTTATAGCCTACAGAATTCTCAGGATCTTGACATGGACAAGTATCACAGTTTGGAATATGGCATCTCTCATTGTGCTTTTGGATGAGCTATTTCAGTAGAATGGGCGGTTTTACGAATGCGTTTATCTCACATACTATTTTTTCACATTTTTTTATTCACTTCACTTGGATTCACTTTGTATGAAACAATCCGCGGACATAGTTTTGTAATGATATCTTATGAGAAATGGCATGTCACTTTGTTTCAATTTCACTGGGAAATAAATATGTAAAACTGGAACAAGCGCAGATACACTTGAGTAGAACTATTTCATTGTCATAATCACAGAACATTTTGGAGCCTAATCCATTTTCTCTCAAATAAATTCATATTGAAATTGTTTCTGGCAATATATTTCTCAATGTCATACACATCTTTTAATAACCCTTTATATGTGGTGAAACTTGGTTTCACACCCTTGATATTCCTGACAAAAATGTGGCGCTTGGCTAGTATGATCATGTGGTTGAGCAAGGGGTGGCTATTCGCACAAAATAGTATATCTTGAGCTGAGAGTACGAATGTTCTGTGCAAGACACAATTAACAAAACCGGTGAATTCTTTCCAGAATAATCTAATGATGGGACTTTCAATATATACATGATAAATATTCACACTTACGTCACACGATATACATATGTCATTATCAACTAGTTTCATTTTAATGTATAAATAACTCTATTAATAAATTTGTATTGAAAATCCAAAAAGCTTTGGGTCTTTAATGGTTAGTCTATATTGCACAAATATGGTCTTCCAATCGATATGATCGTTTACTTCACTTTCCCATTTATCGCATACGTTTGGAAAATTGGATTTCGATATGAGACTCGTAAACTAATCTATATCCTGTAGTCGGTATAATAAGATCATTCCATGGGGAACTTATCGATACCTTTGTTATGTTTTGGTGTCCAGCAGTTTGAATGACTTCTTTCCATTTTGGGGGAATACTGACGATGACACGATTTATGTCAAGTACTGTGCCCTTAATATCAAATTTTGTTTTAAGTTCTGCAAATGAGAGTAACTCTTAGTCATTGAAAATGTCTTTAATATTAACAATTCCTTGTTTGAACCAGTTATTGATTATCAAATATGTGTTGCGAAACTGGTGATTTAACCAGAGAGGTTGCATAACAATGTCGTTTATGTTGATATGATTCACTACATATCCCTTTATATATCTATGCCAGGCATCAAGTGCATCTTTATCTCACATACTTCCCGCTATCTTATTATTGAATCCTGAGAATGAATCAACCTACCCGCTTTTCTACATATCGCCATATCGCTGTATCGCCATATCGCAATGTCGCTGCATCGCAATATCGCGTCGCCATATCGCAATATCGCCTTTTCGCGTTATCGCTATATCGCAATATCGCTTCTTTCTTATCGCCATTTCGTGTCGTGTTATCGCCATTTCGTGTCGTGTTGTCGCCATTTCGTGTCGTGTTATCGCAATGTCGTGTCGAGTTGTTGCCATTTCGTGTCTTGTTATCGCTATGTCGTGTCTTGTTATCGTCATGTCGTGTCGTGTTATCGCTATTTCGTCTTTGGCTATATCGCAATATCGCTATATCGTGTCGCCATATCGCAATATCGTGTCGTACTATCGCTTTGTCGCGATATCGCCTAGATTTCTTCAGGGCGATAAAGCGATGGCCCGAATGAGCCACCATAACAACCAGAAATTATTGAGAATTTAAAGATTGTAATTTTTTATATTTTTTTCACTCATTACTCACGTATTAAATGTGAATATTAGCAGAACATAACTCCAGATTCAAAGACAGGTGAACAGTTAGTATTTTGTCAAGTCACCATGGGCCGCAATGCAGGCTTCAATGTGGCGGGGCATACTACTGATCAAAGAATTTAGAATGTCGTGGTCCATGCTGTCCCAATATCGGACCACCTCTTCTTTCATCTCAGCAATATTTGTCAGAGTTTCTTATTGACACTTTCCTTCATAAGTCCCCAACACTTTCTGTTGGATTTAGGTCAGGGCTATAGCTTGGCCAATCTAATTATGTCATATTTTGGGTCCGAAACCAGGCCTGTGAATGCTTTGAACGATGTTTTATGTCGTTGTCCTGCTGGAAAATCCAAACATTTCCATAGAACACGTGAGCTGATGGAAGTAAATGTCGCTCGAGAATATCTGTGTACCGCTCACTGTTCATATTCCTTTCAAATACACAGAGGGGCGTTGCCCCTAACACCGATATGCCACCCCACACGTTAAATTTCGGACTGTACTTTGGGCGCCGATACAAAGGTTTTTCAGTTTGTTTGGTCCATAATTTCAGTGTATTAGGAAACAGCCACACAGAACTTTCATCTGAGAAAATCACATTGCCCCAGTCAAAATGTCTATGCTGTAAGCACCAGTTCAACTTTCACTCCTTTGGTTCAGGTTTCATGATTGGGGATGAAATTCCTCGACTTTTCTGCCAACCCATTGCATGCAGCTCAGTTCTAATTGTCTCCTTACAGACAGCCACAGTTCCTCTATCAATCATATCCAGCCTTAAGTTTCCTAAACTCCTTCGTTTCTTTTTAGAAACAAGAATACCAAGCCGCCTCCTGTCACCGACAGTCAATTTTCTGGGCCTACCTGCGCCTCCCTGGTGCTCAATGCCATATCCATTTGCAATAATTTCAAAACACTATAAACAGTGGACAAAGGGATGGATGCCTGTTCTACTTGAAATCACTTTAGCTGATCTGATGTCCTTGTTATAATACTCTTAAATCAACTTCCCCTTCTCTAATCGTCCATCCTGAGGGTCACTGAAAATGTCGTCTGCTAGCAAGTAAACAAAGGGGGGATAACTCTTCACAAACTAATGAAAAGGATTAACGGAGTTGTCTCTCTTGAATGAAACCAAGCACTTGATAGCCGGTCAAGGTTGTTTATTCTAGAAATCCAATTAAACATATTCCTAAAATTCTCAATAATTTCTGGTCATACAATATATGGCGGTGGTCTGTACATAATCGAGTCTGGACCAGACAAACCAGTGGTCAACAGCATGAGCATGTTCAATTTCGTATTTGAAATGACAATATGCAAGTTTCATTTTCACTCGGCTTTCCTTTTCTAGCTTCTAGGTCACATGACTTTGAGATCACAGTGAGGTCAGACAGGGAAGAGATCTGTCACATGTACAATGGCGCTATGCCAGATGGAGGTACCCAGAGACTAGCATGTAACAAGGAGGTGTTGGGGAGATACGTCAGAATTACACCAAAGGCCAGAAAAGACGTCAACGATCAACTGACGTTTTGTGAAGTGGAAGTTTACGGAAGCAGACTTTCCCTTAAACGTATGTACAAAATGCCGCACTATATTATATATAATTAATGCTTTATTATTTACATTCCTGTTTCACAAATATGTCATAACGCCATGACGTATTTAGTCTATCTTTAACAAATCTACATCTTGCCTGTGAGATCGGTTTAGAATTGATCTTCAGCAACCCATGCTTGTGCCCCATGGGCGACTAACTGGATTTCGTGGTCAGATTTACTGACATTGTGACACATATCATCGTATCACTATCCCAGTTGTGTAGATTGGGACAACAAACTATCTTTGTCCTCAACCATTCTATCTTTTTCTTATCATTTTTCTCCACAGTCATTGCATATGGTTTTAGTCTTAGTAAGATTGTACATATACAATTATTAGCATGTTAGCTGGATTCGCTTTGATGAGCGAAGGTCACGTTTGCGACGCCTGTTAACAGAGTGGTCGCCCTTTGACTGCGGTGCTCCGCCTGTACCTGAAAACAGCTTGATGACCTTGACCTACACTGACACCGACGCCATCGCTACATTTACGTGCAACGCCAACTCCATGCAGTGTGGTGACGTCAGCACCGGGGTCATGAGTTGTTCCAGGGGTCAAGTCTGGACGGGTGCGACCATCACGTGTTTCACATCGCTGTACGAATACGAGGAGAAAGATGATGTAAGCAGAGATTCACACTATTATGAATACAACGTACAACGAACGTTTCTCTGCCACAGATGTATGTTATTACTCTTATTCGTATTCATCAACAGTCCCTGTGTACAACTTCTGTATGAATTCTCAAAACAGTATTAATAAAACTGTGTGAATTTTCTCATATAACTATGATTATACATGAGAGGGATAAATTTAAACAATAAATAAACACTCTGTATAGAAGAAAACTGGGAAGCCATTATCATGAATATCTTAACCACACTAAATCGAAGCTCGACTATTGACAGTCTACCGCCATATAGCTAGAATATTGTTGAGTGCGGCGTTACACAACAAACAAACAAACAACTGCATGGGTAGAATTCGTGAAGCCCATTCTGGTGTCCTCCGCCGTGCTATTGCTGGAATATTCGCTAAGACCAAACCCGCTATGTCCTATATCCTATTTGGGTTGCTGTTGCTGATACTGTGCGGTGTTCCAGGCTCCAGGGTTCGTGTTCCGCTGCCCCATGACCATATTTTCATCCGTTGAGATCTGGGCCACACCACAGTCTTCTGAGTGAGTACACAGCAACACTGGTACAGATGAGGTTTACCCACACAGTTGACGTTAGTGCTGTACACATCTTTATTGAAGCTGGTAATATATACTACTCACACTTTGCTAAGGAACACAAAACTTCACAACTTTACTTAAACTAAGATTTATAATTTGAAATTGTATCCATTTAAAACTGGATAAATAGTAATATGGTAACCCTCCTTAGGCAAATAGTCACTTTAAGCTAACCTTATTCACTTGATACATGAGTAACCATAGAAATTGTTTTCATGGCACCAATCAACCATTTTGCAAATCAAGGAACGAAGTGCACAACACCTGTCAATAGCAGGTATGGGCTCCATAAGATGCAGTGACATACTGAAACCTAGGATCCATGCTTACAATAAGCTTAGGTATTTAAATCAAATTTTACCCCACATAATAGTTTTCTGTTGAATCCATGATTTGATCCTTAGCAAAGTGTGAATAGTGTATAGTCTAGATCCGCAATGGTTTTCTGGCAGTACAGACAAAATATTGCTCCAGACAAAAGAATTTAATCACAAGACAACATATCCATTTTCCATCCGAACATCGGTGTACAAAGCAGCCTTAGAGTTACCACTGACATATTTGTTCGATTGTCGTTTGGGTTTAAGACAAGGCTGTATTCTGAGTCCTGTCTTATTTTCACTTTTCATAAATGAATTATATATTGAAATAGCTTCAAATGGTAAACATGGTATCCAAATGTTTCCAGACCTAATAGAAGTTTTGATGTTACTTTTTGCAGACGATGTCATTTCAGTGTCAGATACTGTGGCCGGTCTTCAACGACAACTAAATATTCTAAATGCATACACAAAAGATTGGAAATCATCAGTAAATCTAGAAAAACTAAAATTGTGATCTTTAGGAAAGGTGGTCCAATAGCACTGAACATCGGTGTACAAAGCAGACTTAGAGTTACCACTGTCTTATACTTAAACTCATTCTTACGATAGTCAAAACTAAGTCTCATACTGTAAGTGCGTCTTACAATGATCATAGATACGACTGCCATGTCTCACACTTTAGCTTAATCTTACGACAGTCAAAGCTAAAACCATCTAACGTCTGATACTTTTAAGATCCGTGAAGGTCCGGGTTAGAATAAATCTTCAGTAACCCATGCTTGTCGTAAGAGGCAACTAACGCGATCGGGTGGTCAGGCTCGCTGACTTGGTTGACACATGTCATCGGTTCCCAATTGCGCAGATCGATGCTCATGCTGTTGATCAGTGTATTGTCTGGTCCCAGACTCGATTATTTACAGACTGCCGCCATATAGCTGGAATATTGCTGAGTGCGGTGTAAAACTGAAGTCACTCACTCACTGATACTTTTAACTGCCCCTGTGAGTTAATTACATCCCGGCTGATAAAACCGTATTTTAGCGCGAGGGGCGATGAGGTAGCCCAGTGGTTCCATATGTTATACGCGGGTTCTATTCCCCACATGGCTACAACGTGTGAAGCCCATTTCTGGTGTCCCCCCACCTTAGTATTGCTGGAATATTTCTAAATACGGCGTAAAATCATACTCACTCTCTTATAGCGTGAAGATGATCCTCCTGACTGACAACAACACAGCGATGGAGCTTGTCATGGATTCAAGCACTGGTACACAACCCTTGGCATACATTCGTCACCAGGGAGAGGAACAGCGTCTCCTGGCACTCCCCTTCATCCCTCATCAAGCAACACACATCATATTGACATTCCTTCCAGAATACACCTTGGTGAGAGTAATACATGAATACACTATACACAAGGCAGTACCCTATGTCACGAGGTACTGCACAAGTAGATGGATAAGTTGTATGAACACACAATGCCATGTAGAAAGTTGTCAAATGTAACATATGTGAAGTACAGAAGAAGTGGCTGAGTGGGTTAGATCGCTTACCTGGAGATAAGGTGTGTCTGTCTGGTTTCGAACTCAACCTAACAAACGTACACAATCTGTACTTGACTGAGGGGGTGTAGTTCCAGATATAGCGAATGTTACAAATGTAATATACTTAAAAATCTTACAGCCACAATTATGCCTTGATTGGTTTAAAAAACAATTCGAGATTTTTATTTAAGAGAAAGTGAGACAACCTTTGATCTTTCTGCTCAATTTCTAATGCGTCGAGGGCAGGTACAACAGGCATGGTGCAGTGGTTCATGTTGTATCCAGTAAAGTTTCAAAATTAATGCCATTCATATTGAATCAAGTAAAGTTTCAAAATGAATGTCACTGAATTGAAAAATTTCAAATTGAATACAAGAAAATTGAATACACTGATATCACAGACACCACTATAGAAAATACAGGGTTTTTTATTCGAGGTCAGTATCTGTTCCTCTCAGGTTTTCTGATGTAATAAAAGTACCTTTTCACTTCAGATTGAAATTGACAAGAAGGAACCCATAAAAAGTTGACTACTTGTTCGACGCTCTTAAGGTCGACCGTATTCAATTTGCCAACATATTACCTCTGAGGAAACTGAAACTGAACAGGGTAGATTTCACTGGACTAAAGAAAGGTAAATGCTTATATATGTATTAATTCAGTGTATCATATATTTTAATCTATATATTGAGTGTTTCTTTCGTGCGGAACGTATCTTCAAAGTGATGTTCTCTTTTCATCTCAGATGATAAAAATACGTTCTTTGGATGACCGAGCTGGTTTGCTACCAATAACCTTTGCTTTTCATCCGAGACGGTGAAATAAATACAGTGGTCAGACAGTGGACCATAATTGACTGAAACACGAATCTGGAAGACGAGGATCGTTGGATTGTCCGATTCAAACTCGATTGTTGATAGGATGCAGTTAGATATAAGGAACATTGCTTAGTTCTTGGTTGAACAGTAACAAAATCAACAACCCAAAACAATAGAAACGTGCAATAACTCTTGACAAACGGCACCTTTATCTAATCCTATTACTGGATAAAGTCTCGATACATTTCATGAGGATTTTAGCGATCTTCCAGCGCACTACAACTGAATAAGACCATGACTAGAATATCACATGCTGTTAACTCACACCCGACGTCATCATTGTTAACAGTGTAAAGAGCCCGCAGATTCAGATACTGTGAATTAGTCCTCGTGTTAGTATTCAAGACAGCCGTGCAGACAAAGTTGTACTTTTTTAGACAAAGGATATTGACAGTTGAAATTTTGCACCTACACAAAAATATCTTGTCGGATTTCAGTCTTTAGCGTAAATGTATACTTTGGTCATTTGTCACTGTTTGAAAAGAGTAAAGCGAGTTGTTACGTGTTGGATTCCAAGCTGAAACTAAATAGTTAACCGGGAGTTGGTCCGTTAGAGAACTATGACACCAAGAAACAACGAAGAAATGTGACGCATTTAACAATTAAGAGCTACAGATGACCTTCTGGGTCATTGAGTTATGTGCTCGCTTGTGTTCATCTCAAAAGGGTATCATAACTTTCCTTTGAGTAGCCAAATAAGTTGTCACCTCAAGTAAACTTTTTTGGGTATTTTGCTATTTTCCATGAACTGTAAAAATATAATAAGATTAAATGTTGGTTTACGTGTTATTTAAATTTGATTTATAGTATGAGAAACACAGCAAATTGCCAAGTTCAAGTGTTGAAATAGAACCTCTCAATGTTACTGTTATTTTATCTATCCACAGGTACGTAAGCTAAGATTTGACATTTTTGTGTGCAATCATGTAAGATAAAATTTATTGAGTATTTACAAAACCTCAAGCGTACTTGTACGCAATAGACTTAATAGGAATTGAGTTTTGACATAAATATTTGCGCAGATACGCAGCTGAGGTGTACTGAGATGAGAGGCACTTATATATACTAGAGCTGAAAGCTGGAAACTTCGACTCTGGGGCAGATGAATCTTGAAAAATATCCAGATCATTCTATAATGTTCTCATGATCACTGGAGATGCCTACAGCAGACGTCTTAATTTAGTACAAGGGCCCTGCCCCTTACTGAATCTACAGGTGCAATGTGTAACATGTGACACATTGTGGCAAAACGAATAGAACACGTCACAATTCAATTCTCGACTCACAAAAGTCCAGAAACTCTCCGCACTGTGGATACTTTCTGACAAGGGATTCGACAAAATTTAACATGCAGTTTTTATGAATAAGATATGTTTAAGAGGTTGCAGATGAATAAAAGTATGTTTACATGAAAACATTTCCTCATAACAGGATACATAGCTTATATATCACAAACAATAATAAGCTATTAAAGTGATACTTTAGACAACACATAAGGTTCTACAAGCTGTATGGGTGTAATCATGTTCGTCTGTTTACAGCGGCAATGTTGCACTTCTGAAGCCAGCCAAAGGGTCTTCAACTTCTGGCAGCCCTGCTGGAGAAATAATATGTAAAGATGTGAGCTTGTTTGTCTGTTACAGAACCAATCAGCTGCATTGTTGCACTTCTGAAGCCGGCCAAAGGGTCTTCAACTTCTGGCAGCCCAACTGAAGAAATAATGAGTAATGTTGTGAGCTTGTTTGTCTGTTTACAGAACCAATCAGCGGCAATGTTGCACTTCTGAAGCCGGCCAAAGGGTCTTCAACTTCTGGCAGCCCAACTGGAGAAATAATAAGTAATGTTGTGAGCTTGTTTGTCTGTTTACAGAACCAATCAGCGGCAATGTTGCACTTCTGAAGCCGGCCAAAGGGTCTTCAACTTCTGGCAGCCCTGCCGGAGGAATAATAAATAACGATGTGAGCTTGTTTGTCTGTTTACAGAACCAATCAGCTGCATTGTTGCACTTCTGAAGCCAGCCAAAGGGTCTTCAACTTCTGGCAGCCCTGCTGGTGGAATAATAAGTAACGATGTGAGCTTGTTTGTCTGTTTACAGAACCAGTCAGCGGCAATGTTGCACTTCTGAAGCCGGCCAAAGGGTCTTCAACTTCTGGCAGCCCTGCTGGAGGAATAATAAATAACGATGTGAGCTTGTTTGTCTGTTTACAGAACCAGTCAGCGGCAATGTTGCACTTCTGAAGCCGGCCAAAGGGTTTTCAACACTTGGCAGCCCTGCTGGAAGACTGGTGGACGGCCACCCCTCAGCTACATCCACCAGCACGACGTGTTGGCAGGTGTCCGCCCAGGACCCCAACCCATGGTGGCAGGTGGACCTACAGGCCTACTACTACATCGACAGGGTGGCCGTCACACACAATAAGAGGTGTGCGGGCTGCGGTGAGTCTGATCAATATGTTTATCTCTACAACAGTTGTACAATCAGTTTCAGGTCGTCGTTTCAACGACCATCAGCATTTATATTCACTAAAATCTTGAGTGACAGAAATTAAAACAATATATAAGACAATATATATTCCCCAACATCTTCATCTTCATCAACAGCATATTCACACGCATCCAAACAATATACCTTTCACTAGCTTCACATGTTGGCGGCTTGTGGTCCTGTGCACAGAGCTCAGGTCACGAATCAGTTGAAGTAGAGCAACGTCGAGTTCGCACAGTCCTTACATGGATGACCCTGTTTGCCAGCTTGACTCCTGAGAGTGTGTAGGACTTCAATCACGTTCCACAACGAGGCACAAGTGATACATGTGGTCTCACCTTCGGCAAGTGAGTTTGTTCAAATTGCCTCTGTTCACCCAGCAGAAAATGGGTACCCGGTTGAATAAAGTCATGTGACTATAACCTTCTAGCGCCGGGTAATAACAATCAGATTCTGATTAAGCGCTGCGAGCAATCACTTGGTGTTTGGAGACTGTGCGCTATAGAAGGTGACTTATTAGTATTTTATTATATTTTACCTTTGTTGGGAATCGAGCATTGGTCTTGGTGACGAGCGAACGCCTTCGCCACCAGGCTGTCCTCACCACTGAATTGATACATGAGTGAGTTTTGTTTTACGCCGCTTTTAGCAATATTCCAGCAATATCACGGCTGGCTTCACACTTTGTACCTGTGTGGGGAATCGAGCCCGGATCTTTGGCGTGACCAGCGAACGCTTTAACCACTAGGCCACCCCACCGCCCCCTGAATTGATAAGGATAATGACCACACAAAAGATAGCAGTCGAACGGTGTACCTCCCTGTGTATAGAATTCGACACTGTGGGTATGTCGCGTGTTGTTGACCAGCATTTCCATTCATTGGCCTGTCAGGCTTCAAAAGATTCCCGCAGTTCCAGAATCACAAAAAATGAGTTTCTCACATTCTAGCCATACTGTAAACATCCAACCTGGGCGGTCAGCATGACATTCTCCCTATATATGTAGTGTGTGTAAACGAGACACGTATAATGCGTCAGTATAACCGTCGTTACATATCTTCATACAACGTCCAGTCATGTCTTGGATAAAGAAAACACACATTTCGACAGCCGAAGGTTTAAGATTTGTCCACTAGTTGGTTCGTACACACATATTAATAATAACGAGATTTAATTTTAAGCAACCTTTGCAATATTCAAGTCATGTCAAGGCAGGGGAGACCCAAAATGGACTTTGTAGAACCCATCCCATCTCAGGAAACGAACCCGGGTCCTCGGCGTGACGACCGAATACGTTAACCACTGGGCTACTGAAGGTTACCATAACCACTAAGCTAGCTCTCAAAGCCTCTGTGTTAATTGAGGCAACTCTCTCTCTCTCCCTTTCTCTGGGGCGGTGGTGGTTAAAGCGTTGGCTCGTCACGCCGAAGACCCGGGTTCGAATCCCCACATGGGAATATTGCTAAATCTCTCTCTCTCTCTCTCTCTCTCTCTCTCTCTCTCTCTCTCTCTCTCTCTCTCTCTCTCTCTCTCTCTCTCTCTCTCTCTCTCTCTCTCTCTCTCTCTCTCTCTCTCTCTCTCTCTCTCATATCTCCCCGAAACAATGCAGGATTGCTTACATTCATTCAGTTTGTCATGGGACCTGTCACAGTTCACTTCCGGCAACAATTACAAGATCCCAAGCACAGCCGGAAGTTCATCCACACCTCGATATTTTACTTTGCGTTCATAGCACTGTGGACGTATTTTCTGTTTCAGAGAAGTTTCTCCATGACTTCGAGGTGGAGGTGCTGCTTCACGACCCCACACTCTACCCTGCCACACCCTCCAAGACTTGCTACTCCTACCCCGGCCAGTTTCCCCATGGTAAACGTCTGATGCTAGACTGTCTGCCTGGCGTCTTTGGTCGCTATGTCAGGATTCGTAGTATGAAGAAACTGGCTGCCAGTGATTCAATGACGATGTGTGAAGTAGAGGTGTTTGTGTCAAAAGCAACAAAACAAGGTACGAACCGTTTTGCGAACACATCATTGTTATTCAATATAGTTTATGATAGCATGCTTTATATAGACTTTGGATAAGGTATGGTACGTAACATATAAAATATGTACAAAACCTATGTAAAAACTTTGAGTTATCCGAGTTTAGACTCTTGCTGCAAAGGGATGACAAAATATGTAATTCGTCAAGAACAGACTCTTACTTCAGTACATGAAAATTCGCCACAAAGGCGATTGACTGAAATGCAAAACCACAAATTGCCTACGACCCTAGACATGTCCGTTAGAGAGGACTAACTTGAATATTTTCTAGTTCTATGAGCGGGTTGACTACATGTCGGTGTTTGGTGCTCATGCTGTCAACCATTGACTGTCAGGATCCAAAGTCGATTATGTACAAACTACCGTGGTACTGCAATACGGTAGAATGACGCTAAATAGATTTGTTTGGTGTTAAACGCCACTTGCAGAAGTATTGCAGCTATAAGACGTCTGTTTCTATGTAATCGAGCCTGGACCAGCCAATCCAGTGATCAACATCACGAACATCGATCTAAATGGAATACAATGACATGTGTCATACAGGTCTGCGAGCCTAGCTCCCTCTAACGTCAAACAGTTGTTGATGAAGACCAAGTCTAACCCCGACTGTCACGGATTCAGAAAACAGACTACATTCCCGCCCGGACAGAAAAACAACTCGATGGAATGTTGGCTAAAATTCAGAAATAGTTACTGTAATGTCTCAATCTTTCAGGGGAGGTCGCTGACTGGTCCCCCTTCGACTGCCCCCACCCCCCACTTCCCGGGGGTGCCTCGGTCCAGGTGTCCCACTCGGCCACGGGGGCAACAGCGACCTACCTGTGTCAGGATGGGTTTGCCCTGTGTACCGGGAGGACCTCCATCAGGTGCAACTCAAGCAATGGCTGGCCGGATGCAGACATAATCTGTAAACAGGCTGTCTTTGAACATGTGGGCGTGAGTGTTTTAAGATAACAATATTTGACCTTTCTTTACATTTTCAAAGAATGTTGATTGACTGGGTTGATAATGATAGGGAGCGTCGCTCCCACCCATCTATACTGAGAGTCGGAGCTAATGTTGTCTTCCTCTTCGTTTCCTCTGTTCCTTTCACTTCCAGTTTATCTTCCTCTTCTTTGTCTCTTCTCCGTCTGTTTCTTGTTGTCTTCGTCTTCTTCTTTACCTCTGTATTGTTTTGCGATGTGGGTGTATGGCTAAGCCTCTTCGTATTCATGGAATATCAACTCGAAGTCTCAGTTGTTTAATCCAGAGCTCCACTGTTACAACACGGTTCCAACACATAGATGAAAGTCAGTTGCGACCTGATGAAACACTCTTGAGAAATAAATGTAACTGCGTTGAAACTCAAGCATAACCTAGCATAGTCCTAGATTAAATTGATTTGAAACGTTAGGTGAAACTTTCCTGGCGAATACAGACTTTAACCTGCCTTTTTCTGCAAAACAAACCTTCAGAATTAACACTTCAGACTGCGCCCTGCGCGGCTTTCTCTCAACCGTCAACTTCCGCTCATAACGTCTTCTATTAGAGTTATTCCCCGTGATACCCAAATTACTGTGAGCAGCGAGTCGCACTCAACTTGATAAAACTTAATGTCTCTGAACAACTGATTCCAGTACAACCTCTTCCTTTTTGTATCATTTCCTTCTTTTACCTAATTTCTATTCTTCTTTCGTTTCTTCTGCGTCTTGGTTTACTTCTTTACCTTTTTCCTCTTGACTTAGGAATCACGTGATCCTGTGGTTGTACTACCCACCGAAAACAATTAGGAGAATGCAGAAACTATGTGTTAACACAAGACATGAGGGTAGAGCAGGGTAAAGATGTGTTCTCAATATTTGATACGTTCTTCTTGTAAATAAGTAAATGCATTGTACAATGCGTTCAATGAGTACATGTATAAGTATGCATCCATGACTTATTCATCCTTTCGTCCTCACAGATGTCTCAGGTGGAACTACAATGCCCTCTGGGTATCAGTGATACGCTGGATGTATGGATGACGCCAGAAGGAACACCGTAAGACATATCAACAAATAATGTTTCTTCATGAACGCCAATTGTCAGAAATATACACAAGACTGGTAGGTTTAGTTTAGCTGTGTCAGTGTCGTTTAGCATTGGCTAAGAGGAACTGTATATCAGCTAGAAGGAACACAGAAATCTTACAACCGAATCAAGAAGGGTGCATTACAACCTGACTACACAAACGATAAAGGAAGTTTACAAAGTTTCATGTAAAAATGCGACAGGGTGTGTCATCCAGCTAGAGCGATAACACTGGCATGAGTAGGTGTGGTACGATAGTTAACCCAGCAAAAATAAAATAGCAAACTTGTAATCAATACGAAGAAGGACCAGGTGTGAAACGATCAAAGGCAAAGCAGTGGGATATAAATAACAACTAAAAGTAACTTAGTTTAGTCTTAATGCAAATCATTACAAATATATGACAGTGGCAGTACAAAACAGAATGACGGTACAAACACAAAGGCAATATAATACAAAAGCGGTGAGTATAGCAGTAAAGAGAAAGATATAAATATTCTCATTACTGCAATATTCACCCTACTGCAATATTCACCCTACTACAATATTCACCTTACTGCAATATTCACCATACTACAATATTCACCCTACTGCAATATTCACCCTACTGCAATATTCACCATACTACAATATTCACCTTACTGCAATATTCACCCTTCTGCAAAATCCACCCTACTGCAATATCCACCCTACTGCAATATTCACCCTACTGCAATATTCACCCTACTGCAATATTCACCCTTCTGCAAAATCCACCCTACTGCAATATTCACCCTACTGCAATATTCACCCTACTGCAATATTCGCCTAACTGCGATATTCACCTTGCTGCAATATTCACCTTACTGCAATTT